TTCAAAATATTATCAGTTTATCAACTAGATCAAAAAACACGATGAAAACAGGCGTATAGTCAGCAAATGTTCAATACCTTTGAAATCATTTTTGGATTGTTGAATGAATTAGAGGTTTATTCATCTGTAATACCACAGGAGTGATACTGTTCTGCCGGAAATATTCGGAAATTGTTACGACATCTTGTTGCCTAATAATTTCACGACTGACATTGTCTATCGATGTCATGAGCGAAATCGAAGCAGCAAGCTGAAGTATATTAATCGACGAATATTTTCAGGAAAATTTGTAGGGTTATATAGTTCAGTGGGGAAAATAGGATCACGAGTTGTATACAAAGGTATTCAATTATTGGGACAATAAACAAACGCCTCGCGAGAGTTGCGCACACTGCATCCATCATTCTGGCTTCCTACATGATTGTCGTTATAAACGTCAAGAATTTTATCGCTGAAGAACGAGGTTGGTTGGCCACGTGTGTGTATTGGTAGAGCAAGTCTATAAAATTTTAGTACACAAAAAAAATCGCTGGAATACAGGAGAATCCGTGAAAATGGTCGATTCTAATTGGTTCTCGAGAACAAGAGTGGAATAGTCACTGGAAATAATTTTGTTGTTGTATTTCCTCCTCTATTTTTGGAAATATCTTGTTATTATCACATTATCGTCTTGATATAAGGTCTTGTCCAAGTGTGTTTGCTTCGAAAACTTCATAATATTATCTTCACATCAAGTATTTCATGGAAAATAAAAATAAACACATGCGAAATGAACATGCTTTCATGTTGAATTATTAGTAAATAATTGAAGAATGTGACATGAGATTTTATTAATTATTATTGCACAGAAAGACTCAACTATACAGGGTTATGATGGAGTAATGTACAAAATTCATAAAACGTACAACGATCACTTTTGAAAAAAATGCAAGAACACGTCAAACTGTTTTCTTATTCCGCATCTTTTGACATAAGTTACAAAAATAACACGTCATAGTTGGCAAAGTTATGACGTCATCAACGAATTTTCTTATTGGGAAGCTAAGATTTTTATTACATTATGTGATAGAGCTTGTGTTTTTACACAAGGAAAAAATAGTTGCAGTAGGGCTCACATAATGTAATAAAAATCTTAGCTTCCCATTGAAAAAATGTTTTGATGACGTCATAACTTTGACAACTATGACGTGTTATTTTTGTAACTTATGTCAAAAGATGCGAAATAAAAAGAAAAGTTTGACGTGTTTTTGCATTATTTTCAAAAGTGATCGTTGTACGTTTTATGAATTTTGTGCATTACTTTATCATAACCCTGTAGATCGGAAGATATACTCAGTGATCTCATTCCTCAACGAAAAATAATATTGCTATAGCACCAGCTCTGAGAATAAAAGCAAATAAATAGTATTTATTTTCAATTCGTCTCGTGGTTGCATGATGCCTCGCACACAAACTCACTCACTTCTTTGGAACACCGTAGAAATGTTGGCGATCTGGCTCTATTTTATAACTATTTTCATGGACGATGCTCTTCTGATATATCTACAATTGTTCCTCCCTTGGCAGTTCCTGCGAGATTATCCCGTCGAGTTGAGGCTTCGCACCCCTCCGTGGTCACTTCGGACCTGCATGCCTATCCAAATACTCGTTCATCCAACAAACAGCGAGGCTCTGGAACACATTGCCAAGGGAGGTGTTCCCTGAGGCATATAACCTCCAGAAATTCAAGAAGAACATCAATTGCTACCTTATTTCCCTTGGTTCTCACGATATTCTCTGAACATTACAGAATATCCCTTTCCGTGGGAACCAGAATATAAAAAAAAATAGAATTATCATCAAACTCTCAATTCTAGTGAACATTTATCATTGCTCGAAAAATTCAAGGAGGCAACACCTCTGTAGACTATTAGTGCACTTTTGGAATCCATAAATTGCAAACAGGGTGGGGTGTATGCCATGAACAATTGCTAGAAAACTCTTACATAATCGGTGTAGAATTCTCTCAGTCGATTGACCAGGAAGTAGGGAACTATCCCATGAGAAAATCAGACAAGTCGGAGTGTCTATCTGTTGGATTTTTTTTAGAGAGAACTTACCTACTTTCTGACGGTCACCTGATGAATGCTCCACAAAGGGACCTCTATACAACGTGGGAGTACAATTCCTTATGATTCCATATGATTCACTCTGTTGGTTATATGGGAACAAGTCAAATGGCAATCAATGTAGTAGTTAGTAGTAAAATGTTTTGATGTCATAGTTCATGATTCATATCATAAATATGCTCTGGCTTATTTCTTTTTCGAATACTACTGAATTGGATCTTTTACATTTAAATTGGATCTTCTAATAGTTCTAATATTATATCTAGAAAACCACACACCAACGAACTATCGATTTAATTTATCGCATTAACTTTTCATTGAGCTATTTGTATGCCAAAGTTGATTCACATTCATGTTCCGATGAAGTTTCCGAAATCGAAGCGATTCGTATAAATATTTTGATTGAATCGAAACTGGAAAGAGAATGAGTGGATATAGCACACTTAGATACAGAGAAAATTAATTGGCGAGTAATGTTGGTTGTATATTGTAATACAGGGTCATGTTCATGACAAGTTTCCATTAGGAGTATTCGATATGGAGAAGCAAATATTTATCAAATTAATGGATATTCTTGTGATTCTATCAATTTACCGATACGACCTTCCTGAGAAATCAATGTTCTGAAAATAAATACATATGATGTGATAAAAATGCTGAAGGTATTCACTATCGACTAGCACCATTCTAGCACACACAAAAAGAGATCAAAATAACGTTTGGGGTAATTCCTACTCCTCTTCTTTTTTTAATTTTTTTTATTTTCTTTATTTTTTATTCAATAATTATAAATCCAACAGGCTAATTGCCTAATAACAGGAGTATTTTACAAAAATGAGCTGAACGCATAAATACATAATTATTAATTCGGAATGACACTAAAAACTTCTTTCTTGAATGCTCGTAATGACAAAAAAATATGTCAACATTGACAGATCGCAAATTATTGTATATTCTACACATATTCGAAAGAGGACAGTAATAATGGTGTCGCGAATTTGATACTACCAAGTGGAAGGTAGTATTTGTTCTAGACGTAATTCTTGGGACATTGAAGTCTACTGCTGACAAAAGATTCGGAGAATCTATGCCATTATTGATGAGTTTGTATAGAAAAACAAGATTTGCGATCTCTCTCTGTTTTTTCAGCGAGAACATATTGAATTCTTCTAGCATTAAATTATAATCATAGCCTCTGTCTGGATAGATACGATGTTTTTTGAAAAAAGCATATTTTAAAAATTTCCTCTGGACGCAGCTTCCAATGCATCTACATATTTTGTATAGTTAGGGTTCCATATGACACTACAATATTCCAGCTTGCTTCTAACCATTGAGTAGTAAATATAACGTAACGCATTGAAAGAATGAAATGCCTCACAATTTCTAATAAGAAATCCTGAATTACGATTGGCCTGGCCAATAACGGTATTAATGTGATTCACAAAGTTGAGCTTTTCATCAAAATTAACGCCTAGATCTTTGCATTCAGAAACCCTTGATAATTATTGCTGATTAGATAATATGCAATGATTAAAAACAAGAGAAACATTCTTACGGGAAAATGTCATCACCTTGCACTTGGTGTGATTGAGGAGTAACTTGTTTTCCACACACCAATCATTTAGAGTCACTAAATCTTTTTGTAATTGTTGACAATCTCTAAAATCATTTATTCTGAAACCATACCTGAACAAATTCTTGTACGCATGATGCACAAATCAACGGATCATTTCAACTGCCTTGAAGTGACGTACTCGATCTATGTCCAATTTTTTTTCGAATTTTCGTGAGAAAGTTTTTCGTCGACTAGGATACTTCAAAATATATATGAATTTCCTGAATTTTCATAATAAAACTTTCCGTCGATTAGGAGAATTTGAGATGAATTTTATTTTTTGGGAATATTCCTTAGACTGTGTCTGATGCAATAATATGTGCAATGTACTTTTTTCTAAATATACGGGAAGATAAACTCTGCGTGCATACTGTCCTACTCTTGGAATCCCCTATAGCAAGATATTCAATTTCAGTTTTGGAGCATAACATATCGAACAGGAGAATATTTGAAGAAAAAATTCGATGTAATGAAATGCAAAGCCACGAAATATTCATCAGAAGACATTAACCATTAGGTACTACAAATAAAATATAAAGTATATGATGTTAGGAACATATTTCATCAGAATGGTAATAAGTAGGAAACGAAATTGACAGGAACTGTATTCTGTAGGTATGTCATTGATCGAAATGTAAGATATAAAACCGTACTTTGTAGAAATGTTAGATAACAAATAATCCATCAGAATAGTATTGAATAAACACAGTGCTTGATCATAGCAGTAATTTATCAGAACCGTATTCCATCGCAATAGTAATGATTGATTGATTGATTAATAGCAGAGTGATCAGTCAGGGTTCGAAGCCCAAATGACAATGTACGAAGAATGTGGTTTCTTTCAAAAACGTTTTTTTTTTCTTTTGGCTGACAACCCTCATTTCAATGGTTTAACCTAACTATTGCTGCACATGGTAAGATTTCTCTCATCAGTAGTTTTTTGTGAATTATTCATCGTGTTTTTTCACAGTTGCTTTATATTATGTGTCTGATGATTTCCGAGCGCCGAAACTAGTTACACTTCTTATGTAATGAAATTTGTTGTGGTCGACCGACTTTGGTTTTTTTGTGTTTTTTTTTGTATTCTTCCTTTGAAAAATTCTGGATCACTTTGGGAAGATGAATGGTTTCCACGACTTAGGGAATAATTTCATTGGAACTCCTTGTACACATGAGAGGTTGATTTTTAAAATAGTACACTACTACCTTTAAACGTTTGAATGTGATCGTTGTCCGTGAAATATGAAAACTAATAATAGTTCGTATATTTTCAGCGTTGTCAGTGAGATTTTTGACCAGGAGATACATCGGAGAGTACGATCACCAGTCAGGTAAGATCAAAATACCTTGTTTTCGATTTCGAAATCCATGTGGTCCATCTGTTGGACATATAAAATAGATTTGTTCACGATCAATTTTCCATGCACTTAGCCACTAACGGGTTCTGACAGATTTATGCAACATTTTCATTTTATTTAGTCTTTGTATCAATATATGTCTTGAGGATTTGAGGAATTGAGGTACCAACCCAGAAACATTTGAAGTTGATTTGGATATAAGAATATCAGGAGAATTTTCGTTTATTTTTCGGAAAATCAAATGTGTGAAACTCAGCAACATCTTCAGCATCACAGTATCACTTTAATCGCCCCCTCTATATCTCAGTTATTAGTAGTGAGATTTCAACCAAATTAGGACCAATCTGAATAACCATCAATATGAGTTTTGCAGGGACAAACTCCATTTTGGACAGTGCCGTCTATTTTTATTGATATGAAAAGGGATAATTTTTTTATCAAAACATAATATTAACAGGATTTTTTCCACAGGGAAACTCACCTCATAATATTGTTCCTCATGGACCCCATGGTTTCAAACCCCCATTTGTGCATTTTCTTATAATTTTTATGAACGGTTTCAATGAAACAGGAACATCTAAATAGAATTTTTGCGAACGTATAAATAAGTATTCACTCGGAAACGGAGTTCAACATGAAATAGTATATTGTTTATCCTAGCATTCCGTGCAAGTCATACACTTTAATTTTTCTACGGCTGTAACGAATAACAGCGGCATTTTCGATTTCTTCGGCTTGTAATGTTCATCTATTAGACAGAGCTGTCATTGCTTGCAATTTCACATTCCATGAGCGATCGGCCGTGGGCCCACCATGTACTCACGGCGTCGGGGTGGGGGTAGCCTCAGGTGACTCCAGACACCGCTGGTTAAAAGCTTGAGGTCCTCACTCTTGTCATGGTAGCGGTACGTGTGAAAGGCCGCGAACGGACACCCATCAAACGGGACCAGAGGATTCTGGTCGACATGGGTAGCTGGGCTTGCTCAGCGGAATATGGAACTTTGGTGTACCTTGTGCCTTAGTTCGTCAGGGAGAGGGTAGCCCCAAGCGATCCTATCGCCAGGCATCATAGGTAAAGCCGGGTCCTCTCCTGTTACCGAGGTAGAGGAACGTGTAAAAGTCTTCGAACGATCACTCATTCAACGGGACGAGAGGATTCTTGTCAACATGAGTAGCAATCAGGCGAAAGACTTTTGCGACGGCGACCCATTAAACGTAACAAGAGGAATCTTGTTGACATGGGTACCTGGGGTGATGAGGATAGCCCCATCAGGCCGTACATACGGCCTGGTGCCTCACCAATTGGGTTGGACTCCAGGGGGCAGCGGTTTCCAAAAAAACACCACCGGACTACGGTAGAGGAGGTAAAGAAGAATCCCACTATGGGTCAAGTGGGAGGATATCTTGCCTGCCTCGGCGGGTGAGCAGCGTTTCTGCTCGGGCACTGACACTGCAGAGCCAGTAGTCTGTCTTATCAGACGGCCTCACCATTGGTATAATAAAATGGTAGCAGGAGAACATTCCGTTACATAGCGGAGATGGCTCAAGCGCGCTGATTTGGCGTACCCAAATCCTCCATTTCTCCCTGGGGTGCTGTCGGTATAAGTCGAGAGACAGGTGACCGGCAGACATCCCCAGGTGAGTCTTGTAAGAGGGGGGAGAAATCCCACCTGGTTGCTACCCCGGCAACTTGGTCTTGGATCATTGATCCTTGATCTTGGATTATTATTATATTCCATGAGCGATGGGATTTTTTTGAAATAATAACACAAAGGAGTCATTGTGATATCAGATACGGCAATAAAATTGATGACATACAAAGTACCTCATTGAAACAAGGGCAAATTTGTGTTATAGCCGTAGAAAAAGAATTTTTCGTTATTTCTTTCCAATCATCATTTTCTACCTACCGGAACTTATGAACTTACCAAAATTGCGGTTTATCTGATTCCACTATTTTCCGAGGCAGAAAAGGAAAAAAATTATGTCCATCTCTTCCATTTGGGATGGACTGATTTTTTGCATATGGAGATTCTAACGAATGAGGGATAATAATAAGAAGTTCTCTGCGAAAAAATCCTAATATGATTTCATGAAAAATCTACCTCTTCTTATTTCAAAAACGCAAGGCACTGTCCAGAAGGATTTCCGTTTATTGATGGTTGTTCATACTGGTTCAAATTTGGAAAGAATCAGACGACATAGCTGAGATATAGAAGGGGGGGGGGGGTGAAGGGAGAAACGCTGTATATATCGCTTTTTCGATAAATTGTGTTCAGAGTATGTCAACAGTAAATATAGGTTACCGACAAATTCTTTCAATGGAGAATGCGCCGATTCCACATAGCATATGAGCATAAGCATGAACATAAAAGGTCAAATTAATCAACTTTTAACGTCATTTATTAGGGCTATGCTGATGCATGAAACTCAAATTAGTTTTTGAACAGTCCCATTCAGGAATAACAAGCTTTCAAAAAATGCAATTTTGATTTACGCCACTTGTTGCGCATATAGATCTAAGGATAGTCAGAATTATGTGATATTCAGTGCCAGTAAATCACCGTTATGAGCAACTGAACGGTATCAAAAACAAATGTTCTGTTTCTGAAGCTTGGCGAAAAAATCTGAATGATTATATTACCTGTGAACATATCTACAAATGTTTTTTACTGCAACCGTAAAATCTTTCATGAAGAAGATAATTGAAATTGGTACTTTTCAATTTTCCATCGAGAGAATCCAATAATGGCCATCATAAAAAATAATGTTCAGTTCTGTGTACTCAGACAACAGTATATCTTGAATTAAATAAGGTTATTACCAGATTTCAATTCATTATCTATACAGAAAGTGGAATACCGATGAAAAACCGCGGAAAACAACATCAACTATTATAACATGATTTCAATTCTTTATCTATACAGAGAGTGGAGTTACCAAGAACAATCGCGTAAAACAACATCAGCTATTATATAACATGACTTTTTTGGATATGGTTACATAATCATAACCATGAAAATCGACTTCGGAAAGTCAACTATCAACGTTTTTCTATCCATTCCATTTGGATGAAACGTTCATTTCACGTCAGATAAATGTTGAATCTTTGAACTCCTGCGTAAGAACAGTGCTTACGCGATTTTCTTTAATAACACTACTGATAATACAAACCAACCATTGAATAATTGAGAAGATATTTCAGTTCACTTTAGGGAAAGTATGTATGTATAAAATCTCAATACTCGAATTCAATGTCTTGTTGTGATAAACGGTTTATAGCCCGCAATTACCCAGTCCTAGTGACATTTAAAACCGTCGTTAATTTTCATAATTTGGTGTGCCTGGTTTTATGAGTATACATTATAACAAGGCGACAAGCATGTCAGCAAATATAACATATAATAATTCCTCTGTTCATTCTATGTTTAGAGTCATTCAAAAATGTGATCTTGAAATGTTTACTCCATGTCAGATTTTCAACTTGCTATTGAAATATCACTGAACTCCGAAATAGTTCTTTATTGGGAAGCTTGTCTGAATGTGTGTGAGAGCAATAAGGATTTGTGTTTAGTTTTGCATTCATCCATTTGTATCTTTAAAGAACATTTATTTTAATTTGATCCTATACAAATACACGAAGTAATTTGAGAATTTAGAATATTTTTGTGCTAGTTTAACGCGTGGTCAAATGTTTTTATATCAATAAATAAGTTATTTTCGAAAAATGGCAGCTGGAATTAATTATCATTTAAACAAAAATGAGTCTGGTATACAATAATATTTGGTCCTTTGTATTTTGTCTTAATAATTATTCACTATATATCTTTTGCTATGAAACCCTGTTTAGTAATTTGGTAACCATTCCATTTCTCACTACACAATCTGGTATCGCGAAGTGAAATAAAACGAACATTAAAATTATCGTTAATAGTTGCCTGGAACAATATTTTCTCAATGAAATTAATCCTTCTGTTCTATTTATACTGTTTCAATCTATGAATTAACGCGTGTACTCAAAAATGTATTTCTCTCGTTGTTTCAGAAACTAGGTATAAGCACGAGGTACTAGTAGACAATGAACCAGTACTGTATGAAATTCTAGACACATGTCCTAAGGTATGTATGAATATCACAGGTATACAGTCATGAGGAATTGTACTGTACAATTTTTCTCACGTTTATACAGCGTGTTTCGAAATTCGACCGACAACGCTTGATTGGTGGGCTATCAAGCTATGATTTCATAAAATCTGAGATAGGCACATTTCAAGTGTTCAGTGCTCCAGTTGAAGTTAATAATGATGACTAAAGAATTATTGAATATTTCACATTCAAATTCGGTATATGGTTGCATATTTCAATGAGCACAGTGGTGCGCTGTGATTTTCCCCCCCATATTTTCTACGCCAATGATGAAAATCTGATTATTCTCGATTTCTTGAATCAATTGTTCAATTTTGTTCAAGATTCGGGATATTTCACCTGAAATGAAAGATTGCATAGTAATTTTTCATCATTTATTGAGAAATAACAGGAATGCTTATGTTTTCTTTCTGCATGAAATATCAATTTCTGTTTAGCTACAGATTCTCAGAAGAATCTTATCTTGTCACCACCAAAAATAGATTTTTATGTATCAAGAACGAAAAACTGTCTATATATTTTTCGTTGACTCGAAACACTTATATCCACATCACGTTCCTTTTCACACATGGAATCTATCGGATTTAGACTAGAAGATTTCATCGTACTGAGGACTCTTATCACCCTGTGGAAACTTGAGGCGACTTCGAACTTGCCTTCCTCTTCGGACTCTGAAACCTTATCCAAAATCACATATTGTGCTGTTAGAGATGACAATCTGGTTTCAATTAACTCTATAATAAGACAAAGCATACACAAGATATTTTCCAACTATATTTTAAAATCAGTCATCATACCTTCTTGACTCGAAACTTGAAATAAAGAAGAATAGTTATGAACCAAAGGGGGAGGAAGTCATGATATATTTTTAAGGAGGTGGTACTTTCATTCATACCTTTGAAAACATCCATTTCGATGATTTTGGTATTACTATCAGCAATAACCTTCCTTGGGAAAATCACGTGAGGTCAATTGCTTGAAGTGCATCCCAAAAACTTAGTTTTCTGTTTTGGGCCAGGGGCTATTTTACATCCAGTTAGCTGCTTATGATCTATAAGGCATCGATCCGACCTATCCTGGAATACTGTTCCCATATTTGGAGTGCAGCATCCAAACATACCCTGAAACTGTTGGATTCTGTCCATAACAGGGCAATTCGTTTCGTGGGTGATGCCTCGTTCACAAACTCACTCACTTCTCTGGAACACCGTAGAAAAGTTGGTGATCTGGCTTTATTTCATAGATATTTTCATGGACGATGCTCTTCTGAAATATCAACAATTGTTCCTCCCTTAGCAGTCACCGCGAGATTAACCCGTCGAGTTGAGGGTTCGCACCCCTTCGTGGTCACTTTGGAGACCTGCAGAACATCTCTTTCCAAAGACTTGTTCATCCAACGAACAGCGAGGTCCTGGAACACATTGCCAAGGAAGGTATTCCCCGAGGCATATAACCTCCAGACATTCAAGAAGAACACTAATTCCTACCTCATTTCCCTTGGTCCTCACGATGTTCTCTGAACATTACAGGATATCCCTTTTCGTGGGTACCAGAACATAAAAAAAAGTTCTGAGTGTGTTCATATTGAGAATATAAATGTATGTACACCTAATATGAGGAAGACTTGCTAATACAATTCATTATGTTTCTGTGTGTAGTATGTTTCGCGCCGTCCTCTGCTGTGACGTCACATTTTATGCATTAAGGGAAATATGACAAAAAATATGAAGGTCTTAAGTACTAATTAGAACATCTACACCTTCATTTGATAATGCTCTAATACAATTGCGATTGAATTGCTATCATATTGCCACAAATGTCATCAGTTATATAATATTTGTTTCATGAATTCGTCCGCTTTGATTCGATCGGCAACAAAGATCAGTTTTTTTCATACAAATTCACACTCCTTACTTCTTATTTTTTTAGTATTATGAGACAAAAAAATAACGAGTAGATAGATTTTGGAGTCTAGGTTGTCACTAATCTTATTTCATCCTAAATATGACTTCGGAAGAATAATCAGTTGAAATATTTTCTGGAATGACATAGATTGTCATGGTTTTGCTGTAACTATACCTACACTGTGCCCTGTGCCCTAGCCAAAATGTCATTTTCTGCAACTTATCGATTCCGAAGTGTACTAAAGTGTATCTTTTCCACTTGAATTAGGACACCCAGTATATATCTCTATATTTAGGGTTCATTCAAATTCATTGCAATGCAAATAATGGATAGTTGATATTTTCTGATCCACGGAGAGGTCAGAGCCTATACGTCGTTTCCTTTCGAATTCTTATTTCCTCAAACCTGAGCTGATTTTGAAAATAAAATAGATTGGTGAAAATATTGGTTATATACAGGGTGGCCCACGAGGTTTTGGCCAGTCGATATCTCGGAAACTATTTGAACTATAATTTTGAAATTTGGTGGTTTTAAACAGTGGAATGTGGTGTTCATTTTTGATATAAGAGGGTTTTATTGCAACATCGCATTTCCGATCACGTGACATCAACTTCAAAATTTCAAATAGAACACCTTGTATATTATTGCATTTTCGTGAAGTCCTTTCTAATACAAATTCTACGATACCATAATTGTCAGCGGTTTTTTGGCACTACAGTTAAGATAAAGAGGTTTTTATGAACATTTCTGTATTTTTATTCAAAAAACGTGATAGTTAGGAAGAGAAAAAGTATCCTAGCAACAGAAATACATCGCACTTGTCAAGGGCTGTCAATTAGTATCAGTAGATTGGCTTTGTGTACACGTAGTATCAAGACATTTTACTTACGACGTGTATGTCAATATGCTGCTCATATAATTATATACAGCGAGTGTCGAAAAAATAGTAGGCGTGCTCGAGACTTGTACAGAGAACGTTTTCCCGACCGAACAACTCCAAGTAAAAATACTTTCGCTTATGTGGAACAGAAATTAAGAAATGGTTCTTTTCCTAGTGGAAAACAGCAAATTCCACGCAGAAAGCCTATTCAAACAGAAGATAACGTAATTAATATTCTGGCTTATGTTCAAGTACACCCACATATCTCAACTAGATGTCTTGAGCAAGAATGTGGAGTAAGTAGAACTACAATCCAGAGAGTATTAAAGAATCATAATTATCATCCTTACAAAATACATTTAACACAAGTTTTGAACCCTGCAGACCCTGAAAGAAGACTAATTTTTATAGCTGAAATGACAGTAAAACTCGCATATGACCCATTATTTTTGAATAAAACATTGTGGACTGATGAAAGTCGATTTCACAACAACGGTACTGTAAATCGACACAATTGTCACTACTGGTCGGCTGAAAATCCGAAATGGATGCGAAAAACTAATTTCCAGACAATATGGGGTGTAAATGTCTGGTGCGGTTTATTCAACGGCCGCTTATTGATTGGGCCGTATTTGTATCAAGGAACTTTGACCGGCGAAAGGTATTTAGATATTCTCCAGAATATGCTTCCCGCTTTACTTGAAGATATTCCCTTGAACGAAAGAGAGACGATGTGGTGGCAGCAGGATGGTGCACCTCCTCACTATGCCCGGCAAGTTACGACATATCTTAATAATACTTTCCGTGAAAAATGGATTGGGCGAAATGGTACAATAAATTGGCCGGCTCGTTCCCCAGATATGACACCTTTAGACTTTTTCCTCTGGGGATATTTGAAAGGTTTGGTTTATTCTACACAGCCTACAAATTTAGATGATTTTTGCAAAATAAAATCAGAGCAGCGTGCCAAACTGTTACACCTGAAATGATTAGAGCAGCATGCACTAGAAATCTTTTAACAAGATTTGAGCATTGCGTTACTGAAGATGGACATCAATTTGAGCATCAACTGTAATGCTTTTTCTACTTATTTTGTTTCGTTTCCTAATTATACTGTTGTTCTTTAATAAATTTTCCATTTTCCATTTATTTGACAGCTCATATTGTCACCGTTTCACATGAAAACCCTGACAATGATGGTATCGTAGTATTTGCATTAGAGAGGTCTTCACAAAAATGCAATAATATACAGGGTGTTCCATTTAAAATTTTGAAGTTGATATCACGTGATTGGGAATGCGATTTTGCAATAAAACCCTCTTACCTATATCAAAAATGGTCACCGCATTCCATTGTTCAAAACCACAAAAATTCAAAATTGTAGTTCAAATAGTTTTCGAGATATCGACTGGCCAAAACCTCGTGGGCCACCCTGTATATTCACTACCTATATATACGTGAAGCAATGTAAGCGGAAATTAGGAACGAATGGTTATAAATCAAAACTTCCATGGAATTATATTGAAAATATATAATGAAAATTTTCAATGATTTTGTTTTGTAAACATTGCTAGGTAGTTTAGCATGCAGTGAAGCGGCTGAAACTTCTCAAAATAAATATTCTGGAGATCCCTATCGATATATAATCCTAATTTCCATATTACTTTCAGGAAATAATCTATGATTTGTTTTTCAATTGAGAGAATATATGTTTATATTAGTCACAAAAATGCATCGTTCACATCGTCATAGAATATCAAAATAAATGTCATATTGAAATTTTCCATTTCACAATTATACCTATATAATATTATATTAATATATTGTTTCGCAGTGATAATACATTCCCGATTAACAAAATGGATCTTGTAATTTCGAACAGTTTATAGGGATCAATCCATAGTAGACATATTTCATGATATTATTGAATAGTGTTCACAGAATTCAATGAATTGAAATGGAAACGATTGAAACTGAGAGTGATATAACTAGTCAGGATAGGCTTAGATGAATACACGTTTCAAGAACCTATAATGTAAGAGGAGAAATTTCGTATTATTTGTATAAATCTTCATTTGCATATAGCTCGACATTCGTAATCATCAGTGCTTCCTATACTAGTACAGGAATTAGCTAAATATATTTCTGCAACATATACAATATACGTTAATGATTTCGAAGTATTTTTAAACATCTTCAGAACTATTGTATTGTGTTGAAATGAGCACAATTATGTTCAAATGTTCAATTGTTCATGAATAAAGTGATCAATATTATGAGGAAGTTTTTTGATATTCCTGAGAAATTTGCGGCATAATGCAAATATTTTTATTGGGCTTAGGGCCTAATCGTATGTGAATTCATACGAATTTTGAATGACTCACATTCCAAGTAATCAAAATACTCATTTCTGAGTATTATATTCTTGAAATTAACAAAATGAGGAGAATGAAAATTATGAGGGAATTTTTTGTGTCGAAACTAATCATTATCGATCAAAACGGCTTACATATCCCTATCTTAACTTTTGATTCACTATCTACTGACATTTAATTGGAACAGATACAGGGTGATCAAAATTCTGAATCTTAGACCATCCTGTATTTTCCATTCCATATATCTAGAACTATTCTTGTTTGATAAATAGATTCGCAGTTATACGAATCAATTCACAAATTTGTTTATATCACTGTATTCTGAACGAATATGTCGACTGATCTTGGCCATGACACGAAAATTCGAGCAACTTGATGTGTTATTTTTATTCGCAGAATGAAGAGGACCTTCCTTCTACTGAAACCATAAACTGGGCTGACGGTCTGCTACTAGTCTATTCCATCATCGACAGACGGTCCATGTCATATTTGAAACGTGTAGGGTCCCTAATAGCCAATTCCGACATTCCTGTGTACATAGTTGCCAACAAAAATGACATGGTAAGTGCTCATTCAGTGGCGATATCACATTCGCACATTGCCTCACAATAACATGCAATAACTAACAATCAAATAAATCTTGAGATACTGCTCACAGTCACTGATATATTTTCTTGAATGTCTGTAATAAGTAGGTTTATCATAATGGTCGTAGTGATAAAGGACTATTCGAACTAGATCAGCACAGTTATCTCTAACTGAACTAACTCATCAGTTATTTGTCCTAGAGAAGTGAAAAACATATTTTATGCATGACCGGGCGTAAAGTAGCACTTTACCGCCCGGGTTTGCGGGCGTAAAGTGGCACTTTACCGCCCGCGGACTACTTTACCGCCCGGCGGGCGAAAAAGTCATTGAGCTGGTGGTAAAGCTGATGTCACTGTCATATCGATAGAAATCTAGATTCCAATGGTTTCAATTAATGCAAAATGATTGGGAAAATAGATCTGAATTATACAGGAATGCTCATTTGAATATTACAGTTTTCTTTATATTTCTGTAATGCAAAATTATATGATCAAACCCAGAACTTTATTAACAATAATTAATTCCTATTTCGAAAAATTTACCATACTTCTTGATTAATTGTATTTGCGATATGGATACAATACAGTCTCACTGCAACCGTGATGTATTTTTATTGTGCTTGAGGGGTGAAGAGATATCTTCATGAGATATCAAATATATACAGGTCGTGCATAAAATGTTGTATGTATTTCTAGCTTTTATGGACCTAGGCGTGTTAATAGCCCTTGCTATCGTTCGGTCTATTACTTACACGCTGCGGTCCATAAGAGCCTATTTTACGCCCTTGATACATAAATAACTATTGCGACACCATAAAACTTATAATGGTGTTTGAATATTTTGATGGGATATAAGGTGAAGTACATATTAACATAACAACTTGAACTATACATACTTTTCACGACCATCAAAAGAAGAACTTAGTAATTTATACGCAAAAGCGTGACTTCTAAAAAAATTGCGCACTTTAGAAGCATTCTAGAGCAGATCATCTTCTCCATATTTCCAGCATTAGAATCACCTCCCGAAATAGTAGGAGCAGTAGTAGTTGGAGAGAAGGCAACTGCTTAGCATACATATCTATTCTTCCTTCTACTAGTTCTCCTTTTCGATCCCCGTGACTTCCTGACGAAGGTTCTTCAGATCTTTCTAGCGAAGCGTATCAGCATCAAAGATTTCGTATCTTTCGTTTCACATTGGCCCAGTAGTGGTATGACGTTTCTTCATTGGTTTCATCACACCTACGGCAACTAGGGTTACCTTCTGACTCCTATTTTACTCCTATTAGGTGTCTACCTATACAAACCAAGCAACAGATGAATCTGATTTGATGATATGTATAAACTAATGTGATCCACACTTGTCTTGATTATTTTGAAGCATGTGATGTTGTCTGTTTAACGAGTAAGTAGTAAAAACTATGATTTTTCGAATCTATTTAATTTTTTGATTCTGCCTCAAGAGCTGATTTCGTCAATATTTGGGCTCTAGCGGGGATGATCAAAGGGTGTGGAAAATGAAGATTTTTCAAATTCAGAATTTTTTCGTGTCGAAACTTTTCATTATCGGTATCGAACGGTTTCCATTTTCCTTCCTCAACCTTCGATTTACTATCTACTGACATTTAATTGGAACAGATACAGGGTGATCAGAATTCTGAATCTTGAACTACCCTGTATTAGTTCCAATTAAATATCAGTAGATTGCTAATCAAGAATGAAGATGGAGACATGTTAGCCGTTCTGATCAATTATGGTTCGATTTTCAGCAAGAACAAGCAACTTTTTTCAATATATAATTTTTGAATTGAATATTGTAAAAAGTTTCGGAGCATCGGCTGGGAATAGTCCTGCACAATTCACTGTTGCGTTCCAATTAACAGTGCTGCTCCTAAAGTGGCGCATGAAGTTAGTAACAAATCCTACATAAAACACACAGAAAGGAATGATGATGATGTGGTTGTGGTTGGCATCAGAGAAGAAGTAGGACGGGGTATGTAGGTGGTTGTGGAAAACTACCAGCTGAGGTGAGAGCGGGCAAATGCTGCTTTAGTATCTCTAACGGGTGTTAACGAAGCAGCTGGCCAATGCTACTTAGTGGGCCTCCTTTAAGTTAACGATGTAGCTGGCAGGCCTGCCACTGCAGTATATGGCAGTGAGTACATCACTAGCCAATAAATCACGAGCGAACCACATCACTCATTAAAATACCATGGGACTTGCAAAAGGTCCGATTAGGGACTAAATGCTGCCGTCCCCCACCAGTATCAGTAACCAAAAATTATTAGTTTCGACACAAAAAATCCTAATATTGTTAAATCTCGATTTTGAAGACCCTATATCTCTGTTATCATTTCCGCTAGACCCCAATTGTGATACATTGATGAAATCAGCTCTCCAGGAAGAACTAATCAGGTGTTCTATTTGAAATATCGTAGTTTCTAGTACCATCCAATCTTCAGATCAGTTTGTTGCTTGGTGTGCCAGAAACGTCTGTTTAACGCTCATCGTGAGCCCTGTATAGCCGGCTGTGTCCTTTATGCACACTCATGAGAACACGCAGTACTTGACTTATTGAGACCAGTCACGTCGTCTGCTATTATGTTCCTGGGCACCCACCCATACTAGTTCGACTTCTCGCCATCCTTTGATTCGGATAGTTTCTCAAAAGCATCCCCACGCTCCTGTACCAGTGGCAAACTAAGTCTAAGGTGGCATATTGTGATGTAGATTTTCTGCTCTGGTCCCTCTTTCACCTCCTGGTTCGTTGCTACGACGAGGATAAAGACAAATTCGGTTTGAAAATCTGTGTTATCTTTTTGATACACCAGTGTACATACATTGCATAATGTGTGTACGCTGAATACACTAACGTCGTCCTGAAACCGCCTTCATCTACTTTTGTGCTTTTCAGGTTCACCTGAGAGAAGTAAGTGCCGAAGAGGGCGCCATTTTGGCGCGGCACTTCGAATGCGGCTTCTCGGAGGTGGCGGCAGCCGAGATGGTAGCGCCGGTGGCGGTGGTGTTCCAGGAATTGTGCAGAGCCGTCCTGGCAGCGCGCAGGAAGTCCAAGCACTCACTGCTTGAGAGGATGCTGGGCACCAAAACTTCCAATCTGCGGCTGTATGCGAGAGGAAAGAGCGATAGTTGTTTGCCGAAGGACTAATAGCGTTTTCCACTCGACTAAAACTGGATGAGTGCTTCGACACTGTCGTTGTCTTCGTTCTCTACTCGCAAGAAAAGAGGATAGATGCTCGAATAGGTGTTCACTGTTCATACACATACTGAGTTAATTGCACTAGTTCAGTGTTTTGTCGAGTGGTCGATTGATTGAACTTGTTGTATAAACAGGATATTCAGCACTATTGCATTCACATATTCACCGAACTTCGCAGGTGGATTATTTCAATGGAGGTGGCGAAAGGAATTTTTATTGTAATGAAGCACCTGGTTCATTAGGAGCAATATTCATTTATACTTCGAAAAGAAATCATCAACCTTAGTTTAACTGTGATTGCTTTGAGATATCTGGTTTGTCCGGAAGCGCTGAAGGGCATCTTCCTCATCTTGCTTAAGGAACAAGATTATCTTGTTGAGAAGCAAGATCATCTTGGCAAGCGCTGGAGGACCATTATGCCTCTTTATTATTTCGCTCGATAAGCATAATCATCTTGCTTGAAATGTCAGATCATCTTGCTTCATATATAAGCGAGTTCTATCATCTGGCTTAATGAGCAGGATCATCCTGCATAAAATGCAAGATTATCTTGATTCTTGAGCGAGATGATCTTCATTGCTTCTTGAGAAAAATAAGCGCTTCCGGTGGTATGATGAAGAGCTATGTAGTATATCAATTAATGAATATTCAAATAACTTATATTCCTTATGTTTTTTCTATATCATTAGATCCTTAGGAAAATCAATCGAGATGTCACTAATATTCGAGTTGTTAAACTGAGCATAACGTCATGGTCAAACACGATCGAGTAGTATCATCATTGTCGATCTAAATGAAAACCTAGTAGGCGACCTAGTACGCGAGGAGGTACAATACTTGCATACTAACTACCTAGTTAGATTGTCATCAAGAACGACAATGGTATTATCAACACAACACCGTGACCGGTAATGTGAATGAAACATCATAGTTTCAGTCCAAGATGACCGCCTTTGGTCGATGACTAACAATATCCATTTTTTCTCGAAGCTGACCATTTTAATCGGGTCAACAATAAGTTAACCAATCAATTCTCCTCGAAGTGAATTCAAAACTATGACGTAATAGATGACCAACCGCACGAACCAGTTCACTGAGGTAGTCCACGGATATGTTGAGGCTTCTGATTGGGCACTGGATTGGGCTCTTGTTGTTGTTATAATCTGAGGTTATATAATTGATTGGAAAAAATAATTATTATACTTCTTGGAGAGATAATTATGAATTCATGCGAATTATTTTCCAATGAGAGATATCATATTATTGATGGAAATAAATAGTTGATTCGTTGTAGATATGTACGTAGCGAATTGTTTAAAATTTTTTGAATTTGAAGTAGGTAAGTGCCTAGTCAATATCTATGATATATTCTTGTTACAGAAGATGAATTTCTTATTCAATATATCAGTATTACCACTGAAACCAAACAATGAACAAAAACAGCTGATAAAATGACATCTGTCAAGCTTCACAAGTAAACCGTGACGTCATCATGAAGTCAACCTGGTTTGTCTGGTAGATTCGAGGAAAAATTACAACTTTCGCTTCTTGAAATGTCAAATAAATCTGTCATCGGTGTACAGTTTTGCCAACTTGAATCGATAACGCGGTTCGCCCATTTCGAAAGTTACTAGTATTTTTCGATGTGCAGTTTTGGCACGACATTGTTACCAAGTATTGCGCAACTATCAACCCAGCGTGAAAGCCCTTTAGCACAATTTTCCTCAGTGAAGGTATCGATGTTGTTCAATCTTCGAACTTATGAGTGTCACACAAAATGTAACAGTTATAAAAAAAATCCTCTCTATTGATTGGACCAGTGAAGTATCAGTCAGGAGTAATGAGAGTGAGACTACTATACTACTATACTGGCGATATCTAAATTTGCTTTGTCTGTTGATCTTGTATGTGAATTAGAATAGATATACATTAAGTACAGGTTTACCCATTTATTCATTGATGAAATGATGATGTACAAATATTTATATATTGAATTGTTTAATATAAGATCCATCACTGAAAAATAATGATTGTTTTACTTGAGCATGTGATTCTCTGTATAGTTGTAGTTTTTCGAATTTCTTCTTCAAATCTTGTTTGGATATGTTGAATATATACTACTTACCTATGCCAATACACTATTACTTTGAAAAATTGATAAGAAAATCGTATTAAATCGTTGTCTTTTGATTTGTCTAGACGCAACTTCAATCATAACATGTAATTAGTCTATTACAAGAACATTGATCCTAACCTCATTGGGTGATTCATGCTAATAGTAAGTAAGTATAGGAATGAACTTCGCCGAAGATTGTTAATTCATGGAAAAATAGTGAATCGCACTTATTCTGATTCGCATTTTAGTATCGATTTTGTCAAATCGAGGATTTTCCTTCTGTGATTGAGAATTATATATCTTCACTTCAGACCGTATTCCTATATATAGAATTATTGAGTCTGATATCATCGATTACTGTGTGGAGATATCTAAGCAAATTTGGAACACGAAGAGCCACGAGAAACATAAGAATAATTAGGAGAAACAATAGCAGAATTAAAAAAGGGAAATGCACCGGAACGTGATGATATTTAATCAGAAATGGTGAAAACTATAGAAATAAGCGGAATACAAATGCTTCACAAAAACGGTCATTCGAAGGTGAAACTCCTTTGAGTGAATTATATTGATACAATTCTCCCAAGATTGTGCCAATGACTGATTTTTTGCCAAATGACTCCACGTCTCTTCAATTTAATTTCATGAGTTAATTTCCACATGGCCTCTTATAGGTACTGTGTACTTATGTGTCTGAAGATGGTTGAGCCGAAACAAGTCACAATACATTTTGTGTATTGAAATTTTCATGGTCGACCGATTTGGTAAATTTTGTTTTTTCTTTGAAAAAATCTGGACCACTCCGAGAAGGATGGATGGTTCCCATGGCTACAAGAAATATTCAGCAGAGCATGGTAAGACAGAAAAATATCAGAACTTGAGAAGTACTCAAGAGTAACACCAGAAGAACCAGAGGCAAGATAGGTACGGAATGAAGCAAAATGGAAAAAGCTAACGCATCTATACGTGTCTATAACACATTGGGCGAAGAAAATGAAAGAAAGAGGAATAATACAAGAAATGAATGTTGACAAAACCATATTTTAGATCTATATTAACTGATATAAATGGAGAACTTGAGAATGACGGAGCGGGTAACGAAGAAATGAATGTTGTAATGAAGAACAACTGAAAATGAAATACAAAGGAGAACATATCGAAAAAAGGTATCTCGCGTGGTGTCAACGTTTATCAAAATTGGATACCAAAATACAGCAAAAGGAAATTATGGGTGATCGATATTTCAGTCCAAGTCTCAACGTCAGAGGAAAAGAGTGATACCTCGGCAAACATGGGACAAAATAATGACAAGAGTTCCGAAGGAGAAAGGAAGAACCTGGACAAAAGTAGAGAAATCAGAACAAGAAGAAGAGGATGGAAGATATTCACGAACAACTATAGAGTAGGTAACAGGAGACTAATCCTTTGACAAAGAAAATTCATTGGCCCATTTGAAGCGATTTCAATTCGAAAACAATAAGGAAAAACAAAGGTTCCATGCATACGTGAAGACCCTGTACGATGACATAAAATCATCATCCTTCCGAAACAAAAAATGATGATTCCTTCCTGACTAGGATAAAAGATATGTACAAACAAATGAAGTATGTATAGACAGGTAACATCCGTTGAATAGAAAGGGATACGATTATATATCGTCGACGAAACCGCGAAACCAAGTTTTTTGTAACTGCAAAACCAAAATTTCCAGGATACACTAAAATCTTTTTATGTTCTGGTTAGCTGATCAGATTCAATGGAAAATAGTGACAAACTACTTGATTATCATTAATAATCCTTACGTTTGTATATTTATTACTGAAAAATTTTATTGTTTGTGTCAGGGTAATAGATACTTGGTTTCGACATCTGCTTCTACGTGAAAACACCAACAATCGTTCAGAAAATGTATTTCGCAAAAATATAAAACTTTATGTTTCTAGAGTCTACGTTTAGCAGATATACTTATGGTAAATTCTCAGATACTGAGTCAAAATATCTATTGAAGTCAAGAATAAACTGTTTTACATATTTCTTTTACAAAAATCGACTGACCGATTAGCAGAGATTAATTTCTCCGAATAGTAATTGAACACAACCATTGTGGCACAATATCAGAATCACATGGCTAACTGTTAGATACTTGTATTTGACGACCTCTTTCATTTTGACTTTCAGATGAGGGGTTTTGTATTGATGGATTTTAGAATATTTAGAATTGTTTGCCAGTTGAGAGGTTTCACATACGCTTCCCCACCAATACAGTCGAACGATTGCCGCCAGAATATCAATTTTGAATTATTGTCACTTTGGTTTGGCGGTTTCATCGACGATATACATGTCGATCATCTTTTTTTTATCGTACGTTTGACAGAGAAAATTCATAAGAAACGATTTCTCAATTTCAAAACGAAAAATGAAAACGTGGGTTTGACCTTCACGATACCCTGTACAGGGTGCGCATCTTAAAATGGAATCCCCCCTAACTCTTCCGTTTTCAGAGATATGAAAAAGTTGTATCAAACGACCCGAACTTCTATTTCGTGAAGTTGTTTCATATACAGGGTCATTCGTTTTTCCATGAAGGACATCAACTTTGATTTTTTCAATGGAACACCTTATATAATTCACGACATGTCGATAGAGCCTGCTTTCCTGATTTCAAATATATACAGTGTGACCCATTTAAGATAGAAGCACCCTTATAAAAAAAAAAAAAAAAAAAAAAAAAAAAAAAAAAAAAAAAAAAAAAAAAAAAAACTATGTGTATTTTTAATATGTTTGTTCTTTTACTATAGTTTATAATATCAACGTAATTTTTTAATGTTTTTAAGTATATATGTACCACTTGTATCTTTTGACTTGTCTCATGTTGTGTAAATAACCTGAAGAGATTAAACTATCTATCTATCTATCTATCTATCTATCTATAAAACTTACATTTTTCAACCGATTGTAATGATTTTTTTTTGTTAGGTAGATATTCAAAAAGCCTATTAGGACACCAAATATCATGAATGAATCTCCATTTCCAGGGCCAACTAATCTGATTTTTCAAGGTCAAAAATCTAAAAAAATTACTAGCGATTTTTTTAGAAAAAATCTGACTACACCACTGGATTTGTGACATTTTTAAATGGGTAACATGTAAATGACGTTGAAATGCGTCAATCAATAAAAAAGTTATAAAGGAATGAAATTTGAAAAATATGCCGTTTTATCAACCCACCAATTCATGTTCAGGAATTTCATGAAAATTTTGTATACTCCACTGGATTCAGGATGTCTTGAAATATTACTGATCACAGTTTCATCGAAATCTGTTCAGTAATAAAAATTGATGGGTTGATTAAACGGCATATTTTTCAAATTTCATTCCTTTATAACTTTTTTATTGATTGACGCATTTCAACGTAATTCACATGTTACCCATTTGAAAATGTCACAAATCCAGTGGTGTAGTCAGATTTTTTCTAAAAAAATCGCTAGTAATTTTTTTAGATTTTTGACCTTGAAAAATCAGATTAGTTGGCCCTGGAAATGGAGATTTATTCATGATATTTGGTGTCCTAATAGACTTTATGAATATCTACCTAACAAAAAAAAAAATCATTCCAATCGGTTGAAAAATGTAAGTTTTATATAAGGGTGCTTCCATCTTAAATGGGTCACACTGTATATGAGTTGCATATTTGGATAAAAAATAGTTGAGTAATTGATTATCGAAATTTACCAAAATATCGCATTATGAACCTTCACTTCATATCATTTTATGTAATTTGAATATAGTCGGCTTTGATATAATGTTCATATATTGTTCAATCTCCATGGAAATTTCATAGCATTGTTTATTATGAAATTGTAATCGTTCAATCTCAATACAAAAAAATATGAATAGACAGTTTGGTAAACTTTAATAATCGATAACTCAATTATTTTTCATCAGATTATGCAACTCATATACAGGGTGTTTCAAACATCCTGTATATTTCTGGAATCAGAGGAAAACAGGCTCTATCAATATGTTGGAAAATATATAGGGCGTTCCATTGGAGAAGTTAATGTTCTCTCCGGAAAACGAATGACCATGTATATGGAGCAACTTCACGAGATATAAGTTTGGGTCGTTTCAAAGAACTTTTTGATTCAATATTTTTCCAAATCTCTGAAAACAAAAGAGCTAAGGGAGTTTCCATTTCAAGAGGCGCACGCTGTACATACGCTGACATCTCCTTCCGAAACGAAAAATAATGATCCATTGCTGGAAATGTTGTGTGGAAAACCCTCAGAAAATCCGCCGAAGGCGATATTAAACTAATGAAACATGAGATGACGAGGTCGCGAAAGGAATTGCGTCTGCGCAGCCCTTTCCAGCATCCCTTTGTTGGAGACTCGGTCCAGAAGCGCGAAGCTGTGCCAACGTCATCGGCCGCCATGAGCACCCCAAAAACAGGGGTTGGTTTAGTGTTGTTGACGTGTTTCCTCCATTCGATAAGGGCTACCGGAGAAAAAATACCCCTTGGTAAGTACATTCGGAAGGCGATCTGATGATCTCCGATTGGTATCAGTGTCTTGGTGATGCAATTTGAGGGTGATAGGTTAGTTTTGGGAATGTCCTTGTCGAACTTTGACCTAGCTGATCACCGATACGTAAACTCCAGATCACATAAAATCAAGACTATCCTAGAAGATTTTGTAGGGGAGAATATGTATTTACAGAGTTACTGGTAATTCGATACATTCTTCTGGAGATGTGATAGAGAATGTGTAAGGAGTAAATTAAACCCTAATAAGCATTATGCAAAAGTTGATAGTTTTCGAGATGTATAATTCAAGGTTAAGAGTTAGTTTCCCAAAAATCTGCTCTACATTTTTTCAAACATTTAACTAGAATACATGATCAACACTATGGTCTTATGTTTGGAATGACAAAATTACAGAAATAATTCAGATCATAGATGAATCGTCGATATAAAGTCATATTTTTGTTTATGAACCGTGGATTTCAACCACATTCTAGCGGTTATTTTCAGAAATATCTATAAGCCACATTTATCAAAGAAATTTTGAAATTTCCTAAAGGCAATAGCTATATATAACTGGGTACAAATCAAACCAAGAGTATATGATACGGATTTGTTATGTATGGAACATACTCGAAAAATGCCTATCAGTATTTATTTTCTTCTGTTTTTATTTTCGTTTAACAAGGAAAACTAGTTTCCAACGGGAAATTTTTATTATTGTGTTGATTGAACTCATTGACAGTTATTCAATAGCACCACATTTTTTTCCTAGATAATTTAAACAGGGAAATGTATGAAAATTTACTACGGCAAAATCTACAGGAGCTTTTTGAGGATGCTTTTCTCGCCATCAGAGGACGCATGATATTTCAACAAAATGGATGTTCAGCGCATTATCGGCTGATTGTTCGGCAGTTCCTAGATGAACGTTTTTTGAACCGTTGGATTAGAAGGTCGGGTCAAATAGGTTGGCCAGCACGAAGCCCTGACCTAATCCCTCTCTGATCATTATGTGTGGAGTGATATGGAAGCGCTAGTTGATAGAACTCCAGTAATTACCCGAGAAGAACTCATACAAATGATAACCGACGCTGCCCTGCACATACAAATTGATTTGAGGAATTGAATAACAAAAACGGAAATGAGAAGACGCTACCAAGCATGTATTCGTAATAATAATAGAAATTTTTTAAGTACGTTTTCACTATTCATCAACCCGTATCAAGCACTTTTATTATCATTTGATTTGATACTTTTGACCTCGTTGAAATTCTTCTAAATATTTCTTGTTATCTTGATAATTAAAGAAAGTTATGTTGAATTCATCCAGTAACCCAGGTTGAGAAACTTTGATTGAGGCATGCATTCATCAGAACTAATATTGTGATCGGTTAGGGAAATGGTTGTGTATCCTTAGTATAATAATCAATATAAATGACTAAGACTCAGGCTATAGTATACAATTCATTTATTGAATAGCAACTCGAACGATTTCGGCACTAGCCAATCATCAGGAGAGGGAAGAAAAGGCCTTTTCTTCCCGAAAGTAGAGTGAACAGCACATCATTATTTTGCCATTTTGCTATTTTGTATGAATCCAGAAACATCTCTTGAACTGAGCAATGTTGAATAATACATTTACATTGTTTTCAATGCTTATACTCGGAAAGACTATATGAAAAATACTCTCCTGATGATGGCCTAGTGCCGCAAAACGTTCGAGTTGCTATTCAGTAAATTAATTGTATACTATAGCCTGAGTCATAGATTATCGACTCGTTAATCTATGCCTGAGTCTTACCATAAAATCAATATTGATTATAATATTGTGATGTTTACCATAGTCGTCCCTTCATATTATGAGGTGAAAACTCTCCATGAAGGTGACTAGTATTGGGTTCATTCTATTAGGTAGGTCAGAGATTATACACTTATTAATCTCTGGGTAGGTGAATAGTCTTTACTGAATCATCTGAGAACATAATAATTTTGATTGGCTTCAATACAAGAGTCACGTAAACTGGGTTGTTGGATACTGAAGGAGAAATAATTGTTAGAGATGAAAATTGAGAAATATAAACTAGCTGTGTTGATCTTTGTTTGCCCTAGAAGATGGTGAAAACTCCCAATCACAAGCTATCTGTGGAAAGAGAAATCATAATGATGGATATTGTGCTGATTCATTTCATGGACATTACTAATACAAAGGTGTCCAAGTACCTTCGACTCCGTTGGAATTTGAGACGTTCCTCTTAATCTCAATGATCATCTGATTCATCTAGTAGATATTCTATGATAAGTAATATCACTCTTCTCGTTATAAGACATCTAGAGTATCTTGGGTTTCTGTGGAGAGATAAATATAAGCAGTGTCCTTCCTAAGAATGGATGTCGTGAATATTTATGAGGATAAGGATAAGTAGGTACCTTTGACTCCAATAGAAGAGATGTGCCTCTCAATCCTGATAGTTACCGAGAGATATTCAGGATCTCATGTTTTATAATTCAGTTTTTTGAATAATCGCATACAGTAGACAGCAGGAAAAATTCCTCTTGATGAGGAAGACTACACCTTTTTCAATTGTATTTCAGAAAGCGTTAATTGTATTTCAGAATAGTCAATTGGATTTCAGAATTTGTCATTTGAATTTCATGAAATATCATTTCGAAATCAATTGACGCTTCCTGAAATTCAATTGATCATTCTGAAATACAATATACGCTTTCTGAAATGAATTGACTATTCTGGAATACGGTGGACGTTTTCTGAACTACGAGTGACTATTCTGGAATACAATTGACGTTTTCTGAAATTCGAGTGAACATTCTGAAAAACGATGGACGCTTCCTGAAATACAATTGTAAAAGGCGTAGTAATCAATAACTATCCATAGTAATCACTTTGCTCTTTGCTATTCCAGCCCAGTTGTTAAAATGTCAATGTCAAGTTGACTCCTGGAAATAACCACAAAGATAGGGTTGCGTTGTATTTTGTTTCGTATTTCTTCATTATGATAGAAGTTATTTGAGAGAAAGGATATTTCCAGCAGAGAAGAAATGAAATTCAATTCCATCATGATTGAATCATCATGATAGTGTCATTGAATTGAATATATCCCATGATATTGTCACGAGTGGCTCTAACGCCCACTATCGCAACTCGAACTTACTCGCTTGCAAGAGGTTTTTTTGAAAAAGATAACTAAATAATTTAACTCCACTTCACAAGTTTATTCATTTTGAATAAAAACAATCAGGGCATGAAATAAATTGAACATTAATTATCCAGCAAGATAGATCCACTCAAATCGAAGCAAAACAGGAAAACTAAAACTATAGTAATACTCAAAAAAGGTACTTACAGAAGGGCTCGCTTTTCGTTGGAGGATTGGAACTGCCACTCACGAAGTTTAGACATGATGCAAAGTTTGAGATTTACTTTCTATTAGAATATTTGAAAAGACTTTACGGTCCACTGTTCGAACCACAACTGCCGGTTTTTTCTCTAATACTTTTTCATCTTGGTTTTGGTAGTGGTAATCGATTCAGCATAAAAACTAGTGTATTCACCTCGATTAGGAAAAATCCAAAACCAGCAGTTTCTGCCCGTCAGCGACTTTACTTGAATAATAATAAAATTGAAATCCGAACTATAATTTCCTCTGAATATCGTAATTCTCTACTGATATCCTGTAAGCTAAATAATTGTAAGAATATGATCTAGACTAGGTTATTGTACTGTTCTTGAATGAAATGAGAATTTCAAATATTCTCAATAAAATTATAGTTTTTATCCATTCTTGACAATATCACCACTTTTTTCAATATTTCTAGGTGCCATCTTTGAACAAGGCAATGACGATGTGCAAACCGCATTCAAGTTTGCCATGTTGCAGCACAATCAAAACGTATCGACGAGAAAATTCGAGTTCCAGGCCTACGTTGATGTCATCAATACAGCAGATGCCTTCAAACTCTCACGACTCAGTAAGTATGAAAATGTCAGTAGTTTATCCTCTTGTATATTGATTCTAGTGGGTCCAACTCGATTTGTCGGAGAATGAATTAAAGATGATGCCTTCAATTTAGAGAGGAATATCTGCCGAGATTTTGTAGGAGCTGATGAACACTTTGTTTTCAGTATGCAACCAGTTCTCCAGAGGAGTCTACTCAATGCTGGGAGCAGTATCTCCAGACTCTTTTGACACTTTACACTCCTATAGTAACACCTTCCAAATGCCTTTCGTTACACCATGGTTCCCGGAAAAGGTGTTGGCACCCTCATCTGGCTTCATGGACTACGCAATTTCTATGAGACCGGAGTATCACAAGGCTATAATCGATACAGTAAAGTATTATGGATGGAGAAAAATTATTTATTTGTACGATTCCAATGATGGTGAGTTGAGGTATCAGTTAGTATTGTCAGCCATATCTGAAAATATTTGAAAGGCCTCAAATTATTGATTCCAAGATCTCTGTTTTCAATTAATTCCAAAGCATTAGCAGAAAATTCCTAGTTTCTGGAATCATAAAGATTCCTGAGTACGTATACAATTTTATATGCAAGAGCCTTCTTACTACGATGTTCTAGCAAATTTTTCTACATTGCATTACTAATTTGGGTTGTGTTCATATCGAAACATAATACCCCAACAGGAAGAAATACCATGATTTAAATCGCCATGATTCATATCGATAACAAAATTGGCTCACTTTCTTGAGTAGATTACGATTCGATGACTTACTGGCAATAACACGTATCAACGTTCCTTCAAGTCTTCAGGATACAACAATAATGTCTATGTTGTCAGGAATGTATCCAACTTCAATAACACGTATCATATTCTGTAAAAATGTTGGAGTTACTCCATCAGAATGAATCTATGATTGATGTAATGAATTTATTTGAAATATTCTATTTTAAATATTGAAAAATCTCCTTTATGATTCACCTATGTGGTTCAAGAACTAACCATACAATATATTGGTTACTGATTACTACCTTTTTTGGTTAATACGTGGTATTACTTCTATGGTTGATACAGTGTATTACTATGATACTTATGACAGAAAAATTAAATATTTCCATTGGTCCAAGGACCACGTGCTTTCGCACAATGTTGCCAAGCATGTTAACGAACAAGAATCCGGAAAATTTCTGCCAAATTTGATGATACGTGGTATTATCACTAAGCCATCGATTTTCCCTTTCACTACAAGAAATTCTGATCATACCATTCACTAACTCGTCGAGTTCCTAATATGGATAGAAATAATAAGAGTCTCTTCCTTCAGGATTGCTACGGCTTCAGCAGATATACCAAGGCCTGGTTCCAGGAAGCGAAAGCTTCCAGGTCTCGACAGTGAGAAGGATCAGCAACGTCAGCGAAGCCCTAACATTTCTAAGAGGCATAGAAGAACAGTCGAGATGGACGAACAAGTATGTGGTATTGGACTGTTCTGCAGAAACTGCCAAAGAAATTGTCGTCAGCCACGTTAGAGATATTTCGCTGGGGAGGAGGAACTATCACTATCTTCTATCTGGGCTGGTATGATCATCTATGTATAATAATTTTTTCTAACTCGTGAAATTCTTCACGATCCATACTGAGTAACATTGGTGCTGGTCATTATTCTCTCTCCATGATCGTCATCGTCACTATTCATATTGTGGAATTGTCGATCAGTGTTGCCAACATTCAAAATAGGCTAGATGATTGTTGGAAAATAGCAAAATCATGGGTGAAAATGAAAGCGTGCCGCAGGCGCAAACATTATTTTGCAATTTTTTCACATTTTTTTTAACAAAAACAAAAAATCTGATCAAGAAATACGAATCTGGCATGAAGCATTGATTTTGATTCATTATTCAATATACCATAGAATACAATCACTACTCTAGACTCTAGGAGTATTGACATTGTTGTATAACGTGATTGGACTACAAAATCCCTAGAAATACAGACTGGTCTGAATTTGACTAGATTTGATGGCAAATGTCATGAACTTCTGTGGGAATTTAAGAGTCCATATGCCACTCGAAATTATTCGAATCTCATCAGTTTTCTGTCTTATCCCTTCCCCGTCGAAAGGGGCGGGATCAACCTGAAGAATTCGTGGAAAGCTTGACTCGTATGTTCATCGAGCGGCACGTCGAGGACACCGAACATAAAGTAGCGCGACACCGTCTTGATTACTTTTTGCCGCTCACTGAAAACCGGTTGATTATTCATCGAAGACAGTCAAATGGTCTCATAATTACTAATATTTTGAACTTTTGTCAGTACCTATTCGATTTTTGGCGCTGGTGATTAGAAGATATTTTGTACATTTTTGATAATTGACCAATAGGTATAGGTATGATGATTATATTATCTACAGGATATTTTCGAAATTAGAGCGATACATACTAAATATGGAATAATGTATTTTTTTTTCCGCTAGGAGCGCACGGAAGGGAATCCTCATCTGAGGAGGTAGGTATTGAATTTTTTTTGTAACTTTTGGAGAACATACCTAAGTACTTGGAAACATACTGAAGAAGCTAACGAAGCTACTTCCGATGTTCAACATGTAACACATCTCATAATTTTAGGCTCATTTTAGGCTAATTTATCACCCCATTTCCGAATTTTCTGCTCCTCTCTATCATAGAAAAATCTGTGGCTTTGCTAGCTTCGGCCGAACTCAGCAAAGCCTATTTTTGAAAACAATATTTTTTGATGATCTGATATAATGAAAAAGCAGTGCTCATTTTAGGCTTACTTATTTCCATATGCCAAAATTTTCACGCACCTCTCTATCAGAAAAATCTGTAGCTTTGCTAGCTTCGGCCGAACTCAGCAGAGCCATTTTTGAAAACATTGATTTTTCACCGATTCAATATATTGAGATTGGATGGCTTATTCTAGGCTAATCAATTACCCTATTTTCGAATTTTTTGCTCAACGTTTCAAAGAGAATAAATACAAGACGATTTGTCGATATACGCGTCATCCACTATACATTATGTATTTCTTTCAAAAGCATATTTTATAACGATTTCATATGGCAAAGTGTTAGTATTAATTGTAAACTCGATATATATCCCATTCTGGAATTTTTTGCTACATATATTTCTTAAAAGAAACGTATGTTGCTGGCTTCGGGCGAACTCAGCAGAGCCATTTTTGAAAATAATATATTTGAAACTCATTTGATATATAGATATTGAGGGACAACTTCAGGGTAATTAATTACCCTATTTTCGAATATTTTGCCCAACGTTTCGAACAAAAAAAAAATATGAATATGAAAATAGAAACTCAGAATGAAAGATAGCTAGAAAAAATGACTAAATTACTTGAGGGGACTTTCAGTAGCTAGATGAGTTCAAAAATGGCTATAACTAACCATAAAATGGAAAAGTTGATTGCGCCACTGCTGTCGATTAATGCTCTTCAGATAGTGGTGCCAGATGTCATATCTTGGAACATCTGAAAAAATTATGGTACACAAATGGTGTTCATAAGAGATCAATAATGTATCACCGAAGGCATATCATTTTGCTCGATATATTGAAAAATAATATTATTTGGCATTTATCGATAACTGACAAGATATCTTCAAATTCCTATGTTCATGCAATGGTACTAGAGAAGGAATGTATCTATTCATTCATTCAAAATAGTATTGTTACGTTATTCGGGTGCAGAAGCGATCAACGACACTGTTTATTCTCGAACTGATTAATTTTAACTGAAGAAACACTAATTTATATCGAACTACAATTCATGTTAAATGATTCATATCACGCGGTATATGACTGACTGACTGCAGTTGTCCGGCCGTCCACTTATATATGAGATCCCTTGGTAGGCTTTGCTTCTCGAACGTTCTCGAATGATCTTCCGTACACTTCTTTTTGTTCTAGAACAATACCTCTCTCTCTAATTGTTCCATCGATAGTTTCCATAACATTCCAGAATCTTCTGTCACGTTATTTGTCACCGCGACATATATTGAGTGTTCGGAAATAGGCTGGTTTATGTAGGAATCATTGGGATGTTAGAGAACAATCCGGGATGCGTGTTACAGGATGATCGTTGTACTCCTGCCTTCCTGATGATGTTTCTAGCGCCCCTGATGTCGTACACAGGGTGTCCGAAAAGGTCATGTCGTAAATGATAGGGTTGATAGAGTGAACCAAAATAATGTCAGTACTTTTTATGGAAATCAATATCTATCGCACTTCATTACGGAGTTATCGACCTTGATAGTTTGAATAAAAAAATAGGCATTTTTGACATAGGTGACAAATCTGACATTTTTGCTTCCACCTTATGATTTATTTTGATCGATATATATCGCGTTTTAAAAACATATATAATGAAAACCCTATTCATCCAAAGTTTCTGAAAATCTATAATATAATGAACCTTAAAGGTCAATCACTCCGTAGCGACGTGCGATATACGTTGTTTTTATGAAGTACTATCATTATTTTGGCTCACTCTATCATCCCCTTCATTCACGACATGACATTTCTGGACACCCTGTATAGGTGAAAATAACCAAGGATATAGTTGAAAACATCGAAAACCACATAGCATAATCAATGATTGAGAACTATTAATGAATAAGTACGTTTTCTTTGCAATTCCCAATACTGAAACAGCTGTTGCTTCGAACTTTTTCTTTATATTAACAAAATGAAAATAAACAAGTTTTATCAAATGATTCATTCGATTATAATATATGAATGATATATTACATATTTGGATTTAGATTGACGAGCTTAATCGAACTATGGAAAAAATATGGATCATTGCATTTGAATTTTTTATTTATTTATTTATTTGTTGATATAAAGAAAAAGTACGCACATCAGATTCTAAAAATCTTTAGAAACATATTTCACAGAACGTTTTGAATCACTAAAATAAGTTGAGAATCACGAGGATGAAGGGGGATGACCCTTCTAAGTGGGACACCCTGTACATACAAACTGTAGTTTTCGAGTATTCCAACTCGTGAAGTTTCAGTATTGTTCTAATATATCATTAAACCACATCTCTTCCTATCTTTTTCTCGTTCCTAGTTTTTTTGCAATAGAAATAAAATATCACCGGTACACCTTTCCAATATTCAGAACAATTTATATCCAGAATTTTGAGGATGTCATCGAGAATTCGAGAATATCAGTGGTGTGAAATGTGTCTTCTGTCTACAAAGCATAGAACGCCAAATCTTCTAGGAACTTTAGTCAGTTCTCCATTCTCATTTCATCATCGGTGATTTACATTTTTAATCATATGTTATGAGGAAGGAAAATATCTTTTTTCTCCGATTGGCAGCAAATATTAATTTTGCTGACACATATCAATCAGCAAAGTATTACTTTTCCTGCCTAGGCAGCAAAGTGGTTACTTTGCTGATCGATATGTATCAGCAAAATTCGATATGTATCAGCAAAATCCATAAATCGTTTATAATTTCCTTCATATTTCATTCGAAACTTCTTCAGCAACAAACTCAACTCTATATTTTTTGCTCCCTCATTTCTGGAGGTGTATATACTTCCAGGTCGCTATCACTGTCCATTATATAATAATTTAAACATACCGATATTTTTTCGCACAACTCAGAATTTTCATGAATTGTCAAACTATAATTATTATCATGGACAACTGCCATTTCTATCAAATTTCATTTTAATTGAACACTACACGAAAAATAAAGAGATTGTGGGAATTGTAATAATTTGCAATTACAATATCCTCCTATATCATTATGAACAATCGGAGAAAAAATTATATGTTCAACTCGGCAGCAAATTAGATTGACTGCCTTAGCTGGATTCCTAGCCTCGCTACGCTCGGCTATGAATTCAGCCTCGGCAGTCAATCTACTACTTTGCTGCCTAGTTAAACAAATAACTATTGAGTCCTCTGTAGCGATCTGATAGTAACTTAAGAGTGGTTAGCAGATTTGCAAAAGTTCAACATTTCTGATAGTACTATTGTTATTATGGTATTGGATGTAGTGATAGTATCGGAAAGATTTCCTAATAGCGTAAAATATGATATATTACTTCAGAACTATACCCAAATTCCAATACCGTATTTTTCGAAAATATTTCACTGCATCATTTCAATGATATCTGCATCGAATATCCATAAATATATCTCAATTATGCATCACTATAGCTGAAAACCATTATTCCACAATGGATAGGTATTTCGTGTACCGATTCAATCAATCAATCTATTTCGACCCACCCATTACTGGGAAGTAAATAACGTTTACCCTTCGGAATTGATGTTTCCTTGGATATTTTTATTGTGTCAGATGTTGGTCTACTTTCTCAGATCTTCAAGTTCAAGTTTGTTCGATCACATGGTCTGACCTGATTGTGTTCCACTGCATGTTAATTATTCAGTGTTAGGGTAGGCAGTGAGCCAACAGAAAACATCGTGTTGAATCGATGAAATGTTTATCCTCCACTGGAAACGAAGTTGGGAAATACAAGAACTATTACTGGAGTGCTGGCGTCAATAATAATTATTATTGATTTATTGAAAATGTTTCAGAGCGCCATTATCTGTGAATATCAGATGTAATCAATCAGCGTTCGAAGAATCTAAAAAACCTGCTAATCTAGTAGTGTATGATTGATCACACCTTGCCATAATTTTTCATAATTTTTCCCTTGAAAAAAGTCTATTATTGGAATAAATGGAATATGTTCTCGTATATTATTAATAACAGATTAGACAACACACATAGAATATAGAGTTGCAATAAATATCCTGATGAAGTTTTATTGAATCAAGGAGTCCCACAAGGGTCAATCCTAGGGCCACTCTCTTTATTCGTGAATGTAGACGATTAATCAAGATACCTAGGAAATTCGATTTTCAATAATTACAAGTAGGCACAATAATGCGGAAGAATGATACACATTGGAATATGCGATCCAATATGAGATAAAGTATAGTAATGCTTTGGAAGAATCACACATCGAAAGCGACATCTGACTACCATGTGAGAATATACATTACTCAAAATTGCACTTGGATCAAATCATCAAATCGAAAAAAATTCTCTCCTAACTCTACAAACAATCATGACAATAGCATTTTTCCAAAATTCGAAGAATCGAACCTATTCTACTTTCATTTCCAATTCATTTCCCACCCTGTGAATATATTTAACACTTGAAATGTGTTTATAAATCGAGGATATGTAACTATTATATCCTTCTATATTGATACAAAATGCTCAGGTTGACTCGCCCATGTAATTTGTTTGTTTCACTTTTTCCTGATTCTTATTTCTTAATCGGAACGTTCTAATAAAGAAACAAGGTATAGGGTTTTTGTGTTCCACAAATCGAATTGAATTAGAATTGGAATGGGTAAATTGAAATTTTATTGGTTAATTAATGTTGCCCCTTTCTTCCATTCCTCATATTATGGGGCAACAGACCCAACTCTACTTATTGTCAGTATTCCTAGCCTTCTGGAAGCGATAACAGGAATTTTGACGTTGATATTTCAATAAATTTAGGTCCACAACGTCTTTTATCAAAATATTACCTGTGGTGTTATATTGTATCTTTCTATGATACCGTATTCCTGGAATATCTACCTGAGAAATTCTCTTTATTTTTTTCTATATTGATCACTCTGAGATGTCATTCTGACGTATGAATATGACATTAGTGATATTTCGACGTGATATCATGGTATCACAAACGTCATTTAATGACGTCCATATTTCTTCATTTCGTGACCAAAAAATGACGACAATATGTTACCTGGGTTCGTACCTATGTGTTTCACGTGGTACCATTACCTTTCTCAAAGCTGCCGATTGTATTTCGAAAACTTTAACTGGATTTCAAATAATACCCACTGCAATATTTCAAACCACCAACTCTCGAACTTCGTAGTCTTGCAGCATTTCCTATAGCCATTAAAGTAGCCAATCCGTTCATTTTCACGAGGCACGCAACATACAAATATAATCGGAGCCCATTACCATTAAGGAAATAATATGCAGATTTTGCCGTAACGGCCACTAGTTAACAATGACCACGAACCTCTTGTTTCGAATCAATAACACAGTCGGCTTGTGTAGGAACAAAGGAATATTAGCTGTTCAATGGAAGTTGTCATTATAACGTTCGAAGCTATTCGAGCTGAATCAGATAATTTCCAATGACGAGTTTATTTCGAGGAAGTGCTGGAATTGGGTGCCAAGTTCCGAGCACCTTTTTTTTTCAATTGACTTGGCCATTTCTTTTATTGATAGAAATCTATAAAGTGAATGTATAAAACTCCAAGAACGATGACATTTTCAGGGAATTTTTTGAAACACGTGTTTTTTCACACATTCTTTTAGGTGGAATACTATAACAATGGATCAACATAACATTTGACTCTCCTAATTTGTATTGTACCAATGACGGCTAAATGGACTGTCTGACGAGTACTACATGACTGTCCAATCACTCAGTTCAGTGTATTCTCCACCAGAGGGGTTTACTTGCCGTCCTTTGCGGAGAAGTCATTTGTTTAGCTCTTATTCGGTTGTTTTCCAATAACATAGGTTATATATTGAATTATTATTATTATCAAGTGTCAAAACTGTGTCACTGTCAGGTCCCTGATGTGTTCTGTTGAATATCGATAAATTCCTTTACTTTTTCGGATTTTCATTCAACCCGTCAGACAGTCCATTTAGGCGTCATTGATTGTACACTTACCGTTTATCAACCTGAAGGATTAGAATTACCTGCGAGTAGGCTCAGTAATTCGGAAGTTTTGAAAGTATGCACAATATATACATAAACTAGAGTGTGACGGATCAACTTAATAGGTGTGACTGCAAATAATATTGAGTACCTAATAAGAAAACGAATTCAAAAGCGGTCAATTATTGAGGTCAAGTTATTCATTTATACAGGGTGTATCTAAATAACGCCGAAAAAATTCAAGAGGTCATATAAACATGTGTCCTAACTTGCTCCGTTTTTGAGATACAGGATGTTGGAGTAGGAAGTATCAATTGTTTTAATTTCTAACCCTCCTGTATGAGCTTTCATGATGCCATAATCCAGTATGGTTGGAGACTGAGAATGCCCCGAAATTTCAAAATGATTGTAATTGGAGTTATTGAGTAATCCCAATGAAAGTGAAAGAAACGCCTACATTGAATTTGGAGTCAAATCAAATTTTCATTGTTTCCTCAAAAACTAAGCTAGATACCAAAAATCACACAGGAGTTAAAGGAGTTGTTATTTAAATAGTTAAAACTGATAAAAATACGAATCTATTTGCACCAGAGGAAGCTTCATATTACTATCAACAAAATCACAACGTTCAATTCAAATTGATGAGAAGACAATTTAGAAATGAATAACAGAACGATCTTTCATGGAAATCTTACTACCCTGTATCTAGAAAATGAAGCAAGTTAGGACATATGCTCGAATGAACTTTATTTCCTAAAATATCACAAGGAATCACCACTTGAGTTTTTTCGGTGTTATTCAGATGAACCCTGTATAAATTCAAATGTAAAGTAAAATGTTGACGTTTTGCCATAATTATATTAATTCTTTCTGGAAATAGTTTTTGTTTTGTTCGATAACAACTATACAAATAACTATATTTCGAATTTGCAGGTTATGGATGAAAGGTGGGAAAGTGAAGTGGTGGAATATGGAGCAATGAATATAACAGGCTTTCGAATAGTGGACAGTTCCAAACAAAACGTCAGAGATTTCCTAGAAGGTTGGTAGTTGGCATTATACATGTTTCGATTATCCACCAGATTGCCCTGAAATTCAGCTTTGGGACATCTATTTCTCTCTGTAAAAGTTGCCCGTGAAGTCTCACATTGGAAGTACAAAATCACAAGGGCGAGATACCCAGTACACAATATCGAAATTTGTCTACTATAAAAATGCTACGAATTTGGAATAATCGTTCTTCTTGTCACTACCTTGAATTATCAGTCAATATATAGTTGCCAAAAATTTACACGGTGGTGTCAGAAAATATGAGGGTTCACGAACCACGAAACGAAAACAAAAAAACCTTCAATTCTTCTGGTGATGAATCTTTGGCTAGAATTCTCTTGAATTTTGAAGCAGCAAAAAAAATGATATACGAATCATATATACATATACACCGTATCCAAGATAGGGAAACGAAGATATCCTTATTATGTTGGACACACTGTATACGCACTACAATCTATCACTGATATACCTGTGTTAGTCCAAGCTTTCGCCTCTATAGTGAATAGTGAGGTAGTTTGAAAATACTAAATGTTAACAAAATTGGAAGATTTTCTGATACATAACCGATTTATCGTCAATACATTATAATGCCCTGATGCGGTTCAACTTCCTGTAGTTCCTCACCAAATCCTATATACTTGGTGGGTATATAAACAAATATGTCCTTAGAATTTCTAGAACAAGGCTTCCGTAGACGACTAACGATTCTGATGGAACATTATTCATTAGTGAATGAGACCACTCACTGTGGTAAACGAGTATGACAAAGATGGTATAAATGAAGAAGGAATGGAACTTAAATGATACTTGTATAACTGTGAAATGACATCTTCCAGGCTTCAAATGATTCCATCTCTAAACTATCATATCGTTCCATTTCAAATTCATAAGGTTACTTTTTTAAAACAAAAAGCGTGATTTGAAACGGTGACCTGTTTCACGTTGAAAACGTTGACTTTTCACGTTCATCAGAAGACATTTCGTGGTTTCAAATGTTTCATTCAACAGTTATAGGATGATTTCGAATGAAAACTTGTATAACTGAATTTTTCTCGGTGAAGTTACATAGAATGATATCAACCGATTCCGATTTCTTCAGGTTGGAAACGCTTAGATGCCACCCAACAACCAGGAGCAGGAAAAGATAGTATTTCCGCTCAAGCGGCTTTGATGTACGATGCAGTATTCGTTCTGGCGGAGGCCTTCAATAAGGTGCTCAGAAAAAAGCCAGATCTCTTCAGGAACAACGTGAGAAGAGGAGTGAACTACAGTAATAGCACCACGAAGGCATTGGATTGTAATGTGAATGGCGGTTGGGTCACCCCTTGGGAGCATGGGGATAAAATTTCTAGGTTCCTCAGAAAGGTTGGTATCCCAGAAAATCGTTATCTCGTTCACTTCTCTATATCACAAGATTGAAGCATACACGAATTTGTCACCAGAGAAGGATCCATCAGTGCTTTTTGACCATATTTTCAATGGTTTGATATTATTAAACATAATATCATATATCATTATATTCAGTTGAAAAACTGATTTATTTACAATTGTCACATTGAGAATGAAAATAAAAAAATACATAGAAAAGTCATACATATATACTAAGTTTTCATTGAATAATCCTTCAAACGTCTTTTGAATATATTTATCGATCCACTCTCTTTAATTTTTTGTGGGGAGTCATTGAAACAATCTACTCCTCCATAAAATGAGGAATTATGTGTAAGTACTATTTTTTCTGAATTTCTGAACTTTCATATTGTTTCTGTTCCTTGTATTATACTCATGTATTCCAGCCACATAATATGTTGATTTATCCTGTAGAAATATACAGGTGAATATCCAATATTCATTTTGGAAATTGAAATCAATGTTCGGTACCCGAATAGTTTCTCCACTGGTAGCCATTGTAGGGTTTGCAACATATTTGCTATCGGTGTTATTCTCGAACATTGTAAGATTATTCGCATAACATGATTCTGCATCCTGACTGAGAAAAAACAGAATGATAGAACAATAATTTGAATGTGGAAGAATTATGGAGTTGTGTACTAATAGTGTTGACCACTGGCTCAGATATGGGAAAAATCTACTGAATCAGTTGACTTTGTAAGCTACAGTTTTTATAACCTGATTTCCATGATCCTAGAATTTTAATTCATTGTCAATTGTTGCACCCGAGTACACGAATTTGTTGACCTTTTTCATGATTATTATGTTTCCCTAATAACATCCATTTTGTTTCATTAACGTTCACCTTCAGCAGATTTGCACAGCAATGTCATATCACCCTTTGAAGACTAGCGTTCATTCAGTTCATCGTATCAACACACTGATGTACATCTTCACTATTATAGTACAGTAGGGTGTCGTCGGCAAATAAGTGAATTTTACATTCTTCTGCTATGGTTTCAATATCGTTCAGATATATGAGGAATAGCAATGTTCCCAATATAGACCCTGAGGTACATCTATATTATTTTGCATGTTTTCTGAATTACCGTTATCTAGTTTCATCCTTCGATTTCTATTGAATGAATAATTCATGATCTAGTTTAGTGCTATTTCATCAATACCTACGCTTTCAATCTTTCTAATTAGTCTGCCCCTATCTACAGTTTTGAATGCCCTTTGTTGGTCAAGAAATACGGCAATAGTATACTGATTCTTCTTCACACTTTTCTTCCAATCTGTTGGAACACATTGTAACGTAGTTTCCCAACTATCTGTGCTCACATAGAACCCTATTATTCTCCAGATAATCCACTATCTGCTCATATACAGCCTTTTCCAATACTTCAGTTGTAGCAACAATCATGTTCATTGGTCTCAATCGAATTCGAATAGCTTTTTGAATTGATGGTACTATATAGAAATCATCTATACTCAAAGTGGTTCAATATTATTTTCTATGAACATTTTTTGAAACCTTCGTTTTTGGAACCAATAATGATTGACATCAACAAAAGGCAATGTATTCGACAAATGACAATCAATTTGACAGTAACTATACCAAAAAAATAGCTTCAATTTTCAAACCCATTCCATGTGAAATATGGTAAATTTTTCACTAGTCGTATCGTTGAATATAATGAAAAATATCTCTTCTTCTTCTTCTTCTTTTGGGTTTATCAGATTTCTGTCTTCTTTTGGTGACAATTTCTCTAGATCAGGTAATTGAATTTTTTCAAGAATTATATATATGGTTATGTAATAATATTATCTCTCGACTCGAGCACTGAAGACACTGTAGTCCGTCACTATGCCCGGAAGCCGAGTGCATCAAAGTTCAAGATTCCATCGTATGTGCTCCTAATGGAGCACGTTTGATTTCAAGTACCTATGGCCCCTTCACCCGATGAATCCGTCATCATCCGGCCACTATACCGGCGTAGAGATAAAAGAGCTTGATAATTTTCACACACACTTATCAAACTTCACAATAAATATTGGATTTCAATCCAGATCAGGTGATTCGAAAAATTTTAAACTTGCACACACATTTACCGGACTTTTGACCAGGAGACGCCATGTCTCTTCTTCCATGGTCAGGAGACGAAACCCCGAAATAATATCAATCGATAATATTGATTTTACTTTATAAGACAATGAATTCTTCATCATGATCAATCAATCTTCCTATCTTTATTGACCCAACGTCACCTAATACTTGAGGCAATAATTTCGAATCGATCATTCATGATTGTTAGCTCTTTCATTCAGTGAGACCATTGGTTCACTGACTGAAAGCACGTGGCTGCTAATACTGTGATTGGCTCAGTGTTCAAGATCATCGTTGAGACACAGATCGGCAGTGGCTTAGGCGATTATACAGGCTCAAAAATTAGTTGTGATTCATGTTTGAACTTGATTTCGATGCGACAAGTCCTGAAAATCAGAAATTTCGCAATCAATCTCCATTAGGTAATAATGTCTCGAACCGAGCAAAAAAGCATTTCTCGTTTTAATTAATTGCTCATTATCAGCCGGTTTGGTCGGGATGCGTGTTTGTAAATTGTTTCTTTTCACGAAATTGTACAATCCGCGATAAGCATTCGATGGTCTTATATTACCAATTTGTATTGTTCTCTTGGGAACGAACACGAAATTCGTCTATCTGCATAATTGGAGCTTCCTTTCTCAAAATTCATGTCGAATATACATATTATGTATGACCTTAGTTAGTAGAATAAATACTGTGACATGGAATATATTATCTCTAAAAAAAATTTCACTTATAATCCCCCTAACAGCAGAATTATTGCTGATAATTTTTTCCAAGGTCATAATGTTTATGTTGAGAGTAAATTATCCCGAATCGGAGACGAGGAAACTTTTTTATCAACAAAAATATGAGTGATGCCGATAAAAAAACATCGGAAAATAGTTCTACTGCGTGGAAGATTCGGTAAGAACATTTCATAAATTAGTGGAGTTGCTATCAATATAATGAGAAGATGAACCCTACGACCCATTCTGCGTAGATGTCAAATTTTGACACAGATATTACTCCTTTTCATCACTAATATGTGAGAAACATTAAATATCGAATTTGTTATCTGAAATCCAATGTCTTCATGATTTCGAATTCAAATAAAACTTGATAAATCATATTTCCGATGAGCTTATTTAACACGTTCGCTACCAGGCGTCACATATATGTGACAGAAGGGTTCCCACGTACGACCACTCACACACATTTCTGTCGCGAGTACGGGTATTTCAATTGGATTTCTAAAATTTGTGGTCGGGGTTGTTGTTTTGTTCGTTGCACTATGGTCTATAAATAGGTTCGCAACATATCTCTGACGAGTAGTCTGTGGATCAGGAGGACCTGTACATTGTTAGGTTATGTATATTTAGATGGTGTGTGATCCCGTGCTCAATAGGTCGCGTGCACGATGACCGACCCTGGAGGCAAAATATTGAGACACAATCTCATTCTTCTGTGAATTATTGAAACACAACCTCACTTGTTCACTTGGTTACAGAGGAATCAAAAGATTGAAATAGTTTTTCACAATATTTTGGCATACGAATCGTGTTTTTTGCGCTATTCATTAATTCGAGCATGCCTTCGCATTGTGCTGTTGTACAATGCACAAAAAATGCAGCAAGAGACTGAAGAATATGATTTCTCAGGTAAATAGTAATCTCACATAGTTATCATTATGAAATGTTGCCATTCCTTATTAGAATTCCTTCTGCCTTCTGTCACTTCTGCAATACAAGCTGATACTGCTAATAGATTGAAAATGTCTACAACACACACGATCGTCAGCATGTCAGACCAGTCCTTCCGATTGATTGCATGAACCCAATTTTCTTGCATTATTTTAGAAATTTCAGATGTATTTCTATTAGCTCTTATCGCAGAAGGAATTTCGATGAGAGATCAGAGAAATTACCAAATTTCAAAAATGAAAACTATAGTAGGTACTTACTTTTAAATAATATTGTACCAACCGGATTACTTCGTCTTCCGTTGCAGTTTTTGTGAATTTCACAACAGCATAATGTGATGGCATGAGCGAATTGATGAATAGCGGAAAAATACGATTTGTATGCCAAAATAATTGTGAAAAACTATTTCGATCACTTGTAAACAAATAAGTAAAGTGACGTTGTGTTTCAATGTTTTGCCTCCAGTGTCGGTCATCTGACAGTTCTTGCACGCAACCCATAGCTTTCAGCAAACATGCATATGTTTGAGATGTTTTAGTGATCTCTTCCAAACATAAATTGCATAAGGCAACTATGGGCGAAATAACTTACAAACGGGGCAATGAAAAATTGAAACCAGTTACTATAATTGATTACGATTCGAATATGTCAGGGATTGACAGATGTGATCGAATGGTTTCAGACTATTCATTTAGAAAATATTTTTTCATCTATTTGATGTATCAATGCATGCTGGTTATATAAGAAAGTATATCAGAGGAGAGAAACTTATCTGCAATTCCGAGAAGATAATTATAGCTCAGGAGTTTTTGCAAACTGACGTTCAGGCCTCTACAAGTTCTCGAGCATAGACTTCGAACAATCATTTCCCAAAAAAATTAGACGAAAAGATAAGATACCGTGTATGTTCCTTCCCTGCTACTTTCTTGGCGTGTCACGCATGACAAGATGATGGTCAACCAACTGGATTATGCATTGAACCTGGTTTCAAAGATTACCACATTCAAAATATGTTATAGGCTTTCATCGCATGATGTTGTTTGCTCATGGTATATATTATCATGGAATGAATGTTTTGAGTTCATGAATAAAGATAGTTCAGTGGAAACTCATGTTCTATTGTCAATATTGGATTGTTACATAATATATCCTATCCTATCGCCTTCCAAGTAGACCCCAGTGAGCCTTTTTTGCTGACTCCTGCTGCACACGTCACTACGTCAGGTGCACATAATATCTACTATTCCTTCTCCTAATTCTCCTTCTCGAACCTCCGTGGATTTCTGATGAAGGTCAGTATGTCCGTCCACCTTAGTAATTTGATGTTCCTGTTGAAGCGTATCAGTACCAGAGAATTCGAATTTTAGCCCCACACTGGCCCAGGTAGTGGTATGACATTCTATATAATGGATGCAGTTAGGGCATCAATTGATTCTTAGCCTATTAATTGTCGATATCTACCCAATTGAAGTGGCGCAAAATCACAATTTTAGGACGTCAAAATATTATTCTGGTGGGTACCCACGAGAAAAAAATTTCCACAAAAATACATACGTTGATATAGTAATTTGTCACATAAACCCAATTCAACTGTATTGACATCACTGGTGTGGAATTTTCAATGAAATCTAATTGCGCCGACATACATAAATAGATGTTCCTATACAGATATAATATCATCCATGAATTTTTCACCACAACTATTCCCTTCAGTTTCTACTACCACTTTCTAATATGTTATCAATTAGTGCTTTGGCACGATATGAAGCCAATATACGTAATCGGAGAAGTGTGTCTTGCTTCAAAAATTATCGACTTGAATTTGTATTCGCCTAATTCTATATTAACTAGGTCCTTACTATATGGAAACTTGACGAACAATAAGATTTCCACATAGTTCAACTCAATTAACAGTTAATCGTTTTTGCATTTCACTTAAAGAAGCTACTTCTTTAGTGGAACTTCGAGAGACGTTTTGAGAATTTTATGTAATTCAGATCGTTTGTGAAGTTTCACAATTATTCCTATTTTCAGGTGGAAATAGAAGGAATCACTGGTGAAGTGAGATTCAGCGAGGAAGGCAGAAGACAGAACTACACCCTTCAAGTTGTTGAGATGACAGTCACTAGTGCCATGGTCCAAGTAGCCGAATGGAATGACGAGACTGGCTTGAGCCCAGTTGCTGCGAAATATGTCAGACCAAAAGCCAATGCCTACATCGAGAAGAACAAGACGTATATAGTCACGACGATAGTTGTAAGTATGATATTTTTCATCATTTTGTTCTAATATTTGAACTCTATATTAAATGAAAATTAGCGAAATCAACATTTTCATTTCTTTCTGAAATATTAACGGCGATTACCATGAAAAATATTGTTCGGCAAAATAGTTTTGGAACTTTTTTTGTGTAAAATTATCATCTCTTACATTTTGATAATAGACTTTGTTGTATAACCAATATTCACTGAGAAAATCGGAAAAACTGGTATTCAGCATGTTTGAAGTGTTGGTCGTAGAGCGTACACACACATTCTATGTTGTAATTTCTGAAGGAAAAATCGACTATTTCCGGAGGCAAGTACTTTTTATCCGCTGCAGTTGATTCCTTGGTTTCCATATATTGATCAACTTATCTACTGAAACATTTCATAATCTTCTGAAAAATATCTTTTTCTAATTTCGACATATAATTTGACACTTTTCAAAACTGACGGAAGTTTTGAAACGTCTTACTTTACGTAACCAGTTGCGTAAAGTAAAATTTTACATAACTGGTGATGTAATGTTCATTTCAACACCAGTTACGAAATAGGAATATGGATGGACGAAGAGAAATTGATTCAAATCTGTAGCTATACAAATAAACAAGAATTCAATTAGAATTTTCAAATTTTCTATAAGCAATATCATATTGTTCTTTTGATTTTTCCGGAATCATGGTTAATAGTGTATTTTGTGCTGCTTCCTCAATATCACTTGGTAAATCAGAACTTGAATCGGACATTTTTCACCTATAAAAACATCAAACGATTCTATTTCGTCGCTAGTTTGTGACCGTATTGTTGTTTGACAGATACTTCAAAGTGGCAGGCGAAGTCAACTAGCCTACTAAATTTTGTGAAGAGTCGGCAGAACTCATGTAAAACTGGTCATTATTTTTGTTCATGCGAAATGTTTCGTCAAAATTAGAAAAAATATTGTACGTGACACGTTAGGAAACGCCATTTTGTGTAACTCTGTGATGTTGCGGGATCTCGCTTCGATCGCTCGTCCCGCAAAATCCCATTGTTACACAAAACAACGCGTTTCCTAACTGATTACGAAAATATCTATTACACCTATTTATCATTATAATTACCTACATATATTATCAATAATCTTCAGTTGATCACATACACTTTTAAGATATGTGTAATTTCGGCACGCTCTGTTCAAATTCATTTTACAAAATAAGTGATAGCTCTCCATATAGGTATCCAAACGGGACAATACTTCATCTGATTCAGATCAGATTAAATTTTTTATATACCTCTGTCATAACAGTCTGTTCCTCACGTTTGATTTTCTTAATCGTTTCGTATTTTTCTTGTTTATTTCTACTATTCGTTCCTCTTTTTTCATATACTCAAATCTTAAGAGTACCTATGTAACTATATTTTGTGATATTTGTGAGTATTTTCAAATCGAACATTAGAAATATGATTATTTTTTCATGATGATGATTGTTTTGTTTCTTTTCATTGTGTTGGAAGTATGTACCTTTTCTGTTTACTGAAAGTACATAATGTTTTGACGTCACAGGTTTATTTTATCATTATTTCTTGCAATGCATTTAGTATAAAGAAGATCTGAGTTTTCGATGAGATATTTACTGATGAAATAAAAATCAAACTGGCAACCTTGGTCTGTGTGGAGAGGAGTTAACAACTGTAAATTATTACTGTTTGCTTGCCTCGGCTATGACCTCGTCTATCACTTTGCAGAATAGACTATAATAGACAGTTTTTCGTCCTTGGTACATAAATAACTTGTATGGATTATTCCATAGTTTGGCATCTTCTATTTCATATTGAAATAAATTAAAAATAAGGAGTGTTCTATTAAAAATAAAGAACTAATGGTGATTTCCAATCTGAACTGAAGTGACTCACACACCCAATTTCATTGGTTCATCTATACAGGGTGGCCCACGATCAATGGTACCTTAGACGTATACGGAAAACGGTACATTGGATTATCCTGAGAATCTGGTTACTTTTATAAGCGTTTGTGATCTAACGATTCAAAATATTCTCGGCGAAGCAGCGTTGCCACTTTTACCAAAAAGTAGCATCATCTTTGTTATTTCAAATGGAACGCCCTGTATTTTATTGCGTTTTTAGATTCTTCTCGAAGAGCTGATTCCATCAATGTATCACACTTGGGGTCTAGCAGGAATTATTACAGAGATATAGGGTGTTCAAAATCGAGATTTTTCAACTTTAGGATTTTTTTGTGTCGAAACTATTCATCATTGGTCAAAACGGCTTACATGTCCCAATATTAACTTTTGATTAACTATCTACCGACATTTAATTGGAAAAAATACAGGATGGTCCAAGATTCAGAATTTTGATCACCCTGTATCTGTTTCAATTGAATGTCAGTAGATAGTGAATCCGAAGTTAAGATAGGGACATGTGAGCCGTTTTGATCGATGAATAGTTTCGACACAAAAAATTCCTGAAATTGAAAAATCTCGATCTTGAACACCCTATATCTCTGTAATAATTCCTGCTAGACCCATAAGTGAGATACATCGATGAAATCAGCTTTTTGAGAAGAATCTAAAAACGCAATGAAATATAGGGTGTTCTATTTGAAATAACAAAGATGATGCTACTTTTTGGTAAAAGTGGCAACGCTGCATCGCTGAAAATATTTTATCAGAGTTACCAAATTTTCAGGATAATTCAATGTACCGTTTTCCTTATACGTCTAAGGTACCATCGACCGTGGGCCACCCTGTATATATAGAACCGCACAATTTATAAAGAACACCCAGTACATCAGCTGCCAAAATGGGAAATGAATGATTGAAAAAATTCAAGAGCTAACTGCTAACTCTCTATCATAGGCATGACAACACCAAAAAATATCTATTGTTTCCTTGTCCGTGCGGTCTGATGATGAAAAATGAAGCTGAATTCAAACCTACATGCATATTCCTTTTCAGGAAGAGCCATACATTATGATGAAAACTCCAGAACCGGGAGAAATTCTCAATGGAAATGATCGTTTTGAGGGATACTGTAAGGATCTAGCCAATCTGCTAGCTAAAAGACTTGGCATCAATTGTGAGTATATAGGTTTCATCGGATATCATGAAATATGAACCTATTCAGATCTGTTCGTCATATTGGGTATAATAAATTGGTTCAAGATATCGATTGAAATGAAGTGAACCATTTTGGTAATAAAAAGATGAAGGGATCAAACGTTGGAAGCAAACTGTCAAATTTGGAACCTCTGGCAAAAATGCTTTCATTATACGGAAAAAAAAATCGTCCCATCCTGTATAAAACATAATCACTGAAAAGCCGTTTACGCATGGGAAGGTGCATTAGTATGAGTTTATTGACCTGTCGAATATCATTGATACCATGGTAACCGTTTGAGAGTTACACATAAATAGTTATTTATTATACAAGGGAAAAAAGTAGTAGATTTTAGCTCCAGGTTGTGTTGTCTCCCGACGCGTAGCGGAGGGAGACAACAAACCGTGAGCTAAAATCTAATATTTTTCCCGTGTATAATACACTATTTTTTTCTGTGACAGAAGAAAGGAAGAATCAATATTGAGAAGATATTACATTATTTTGATATCTGAAAATTATCGACGGGAAATTTTAAGTTTTTAACAGTAGGGACACCGCGTTGTAGGCATCTTTATCATTCATTTGAAGTAATCAAATATCTGATGTCACTTCTGTCAGTCTAATTTCGTGATTTTATTTCAAGAAATTGCGAATTCAGTGGTTATTTTGCAATACACGTAACCGCGAAGCCGAATGGAAGATAAAAGGACTCGCAGTTCTTTCTCGGAGACGGTATTATTGACTCATTTTTCGGAACTATAGCACAACAAAAGCCATCAACAGTGTTTATATATGTGATATATATCCGGGAAAGAAGTACTCACTTTTTTCCCACGGGAAAAAAGTAATTTATGAAAAGTGAAATTTTATAACCTGCCAACAGGGATGAAATGCCAAACTTTTTTCCCGTCACAGAAAAAATGCATTCTTTCTATTATTACTTTCAAGGTCAATAACTCCGTAAAGTGTCATTTACGACATGACCTTCCCGAAAACCCTGTATATGAGTAAAATTACTGAATTTTCCATAATTTCGACTGATTGTGGTAGACTACTCTGTTTATGAGTGATTCAATTCTAGTTGAACTCCGAATCGTTAAGGATGGCCAGTATGGTGCTGAAAATCACGAAGTAAAAGGTGGCTGGGATGGTATGGTCGGAGAGTTGGTACGCCAGGTAAGTTCCATAACCTAATCAATCCTACTATTATTTCATATGAATGAATTTGGATCTGAGCGACATGAATCATTATGTCAGAATGAATGAATCACTAGCTAATCAGTCAGTCATCCGCAGCTCATTTTTAGTTTCATATATTCCCACTCCATATTTTGTTGAAACTCCATGGAATTTACTCCCATGACATGAAGTTGCTGTTATAAATTCATCGAATGAATAATGTAGGTTCTAAAAGAAATTTATCGAATCCTAATTGTTGCTATATATCTCAATAAAGAAGTGTCAGAAATGATTCTAGGAGATCAAGCTTCCTTTACAGGTTATTTGGATGTGTACATTGCTTTTCTTTTTTTCAGATATGATCAGTTTTACCTGAGTTGATTGATTAGATGTACAATTGATTGTGATCCATTTTCTTATTAATTGCAGTTTTTCAATACAAACAGTTTGAAGATGTTGCTTGAAGATCCTTAATAATGCTCAGTCAGTCCTGTTTCAGTGCAAATTTTGACGTATATACCAAATCTATGTTGAGTATTAGTTCCGTATTACTAGTGGTACTTACTCATAGCCACTTATTATCAAAAAATGAAGTGAGAGATAATCTCCAACTCATTATATTCGAATATGGCTTCATGGCACTTGAGTTATCTCCGATTCTACGTATTTTTAACTAATTCTGATATTAATTGGATTTCAACATTCACCCTGAGCAAATTATCCTAGTACCTAATTAATTTGAGCAAGCAGCGCGTGAACATCGATGGCAATTTTATCAGGTTAATCCAAATTTTGACGTGACATAATCAGTGGATGTGAAGTATATCTAGTATTTTTATTTTGATACGAAATCGATATCGGCTGGGATTGAAACTAGATAATTATGATGATGCACATGCAGCATCAATAGATTACCGTATAGTGAATATCCTATTTTATAGTTTATATGCAATTTCACCGTTTTATCTGTTCTTTGTCCCTAGTAACTTCGAGATTACAGAGTGATCCGAACGCGTTGGTCGTAATATAATGTGGTACACATAATGAGTACAATTATTCAACAAGCATTGCGTGTGGCATAAATAACCTAAGTGAATAATAGTTTATCATATGCGAGTAGAATACTATACTCTGTCCACGACTACTATTGTCTTTGATATATAGATTTATTCTCAACAACTGTTTCATCATAGCTCATTCGACATTAGGAAAATTGAAAATTGAACATACCTGTTTTAATCATTTGTTCACGACTGTTGTACTTTATACAGCACATTATAAAAACTCCTTCATCCATCATAGAACGGCTGGGCTCTGGAATTCATTGCCTGAGGAAGTATTCCCACCAACATATAATCTCCAGAAGTTGAAAAAAAATTCCAATACCTACCTCCTATCCCTATCCTCCCTAGGAACGCACGATGTTCTTTGAAAATTATAGGGATTCCCTCTCGTGCGCTCCAAGCGATAAAAAAAATAAAAAAATTACTTGTACTTTATTCTCATGCAAAACGATAGCAATTTTTCACACCAGTGAATAATAGCGGTGAATAACCCTTATTCACTGGTCGGAAGTTCCTTATATGTAATATCGCTGTGAATTATATGGTTATTCACTGCTATGCTGAAAAATGGCTCTCGTACATGTATAAACAATATTTTATACAACAGTCGTGGATGTAACATTTTTATCCAATAAGCTTTTGACCAGATTTCAATAGATTTCTCAACTCTCCCATCATCAATTACTTAACTCATGGCTCTCCTGAGAACTCCTCCTGAGAACTTACTATTGTGTTTAGTTCGCTGGTTATTTGTAATTCAGTGATAAAAATTCCAGCAGCAGAATGATATTTTCGCTTCTCGATAAACTGGTAATAGTTTTTCATATTACTCACTCCATAAAAGCGCTAGTCAGTTCTTCATTATTTATTTAAAATCAATAAAATATTCCAAAACGGTATAGAGTATCGAGATTCACCAGGGTTATTATTCTTCAGAAAAACTGGATCATGCTCAAGTTCACATTGGAGTTGAACTAAAAAATATGACCTCCTTATGTTCAAAACTAATTAGTACAAACCGTGTTACTATATCGCCCTTCATGAGAATTCGTTATATAAAAACAAATGCATACAATGTAATAGGTGGATATAGCTACCAAAACATGAATATCTAGAATGTCTGCAGTAGATTCGACAAAATTTGTATGGAAATTGTTTCTTAATCATCATTTATCTTAGTATCTTCAATACGGCCGATGTCGCTAAGATCAAACTCAACTCATTTTGTCGTAGCTTCCTAGCAACGAGGCTCTAGAGTTTGTCTTGAATCAGTCTGTAGATATATGCCATATGTTTCTCATTCAGCAATCCTTTCTCAGTTTTTCTTTTCGTTTTCGGTTTTGGCTTGTTCGGATAATCAATCACGAATATCGGAACCTATCATACCTATGTTTATGGCTGAAAATTTCTTAATTGCTCTAGTTCGGAAATATGAATGATTTGAATCATCGCAATGAAAATCTCATACTATAAGTTATTTTCAGCCATCAGATGCTTCATTTCGAAATTGTTACTATGGTTATCCACATGAGCATGGAGACGTTAAATTATAAGTGGAAACTTTCTGGCACTTGACAGCCATCATATAATTAGAGTCCCTTGATAGAAATTGACGTTAAAGTCATCTTAACAGGGTACGGACAGATCCTCGTCTCCTCTCACTCTAAAGTGTTTGTGAAACAGTTATATAGTTTCATCCTTATTCAATTCTGGGGATAAACACTAGATTTCTGACATTTGTTGCTTTTTAGGTTATATTGAGGTCACTGGCGTATCATAAGTAATTTCCATATGGAATTCCTGATTCAACTATACCAAGATATAGATGAACAATCCTCTAGTTTTGGAGTTTACTACTCCAGCATAATCTTTGTGAGGTAGGTAACATATAAATTGTACTGAAAGCTTGATATATTTCACCAAGAGAAACTGCTCTTAGACTGTATATACCAGGGTTGACTGAATTGACTAAATGAATTCTGATTTCAAGCTGAGCAGAAGTTTATCTATGAGCTGAATGAGCTGAGCCTAATGATTGAGAAATGGTGGAAACCTCGATGTGGTTATCTGAACTACGGTACTCATGTCATGTGTGCTGAATATATTTTTGGAAATCCAATTCGGAGAAGAATTTATGGAGTGACTGATATCACACTATGTATAAAACTTCGTCTAGGACGAAAAGTAATACGTAAAATGTGCAGGAAAATAAAGAATAGAATATACTATAAAACCATGTTATACATATGATTTTTCCGTCTCCCTCCTTGAATAAAAAGTAATTTTCGAATAATTTATTGATGAAAAGTTACAAAGAAGTAGGTATACGCAGAAAAACTTATTGGCACGTTATTCTCACTCTTGCATCCTACATATTTTCTATTTGTGGTGAAGTAATAATTATATGAGCTAATGTCTTTCACCATATTGGATCAGTCATCTTGAATCTTCAAATTTTGACGAAATAATCATTATCTTCTACCCCAAAAACCCCCAGATACCAATTTTGAAAAGAATCGGATCATAATTACAAAACTCGTTCGCCATATGATCTTCCTCAACAAGTAAATACCCTGTACATACCTATTTTTTAAATTTTTAATGATTTTCTGTAGCGCTCATGGATGTGACGTGACAGCAATGTCAGGGATGCCAGTAGACAAAAGTCTCTAGATCATTAGAAAAGAATGCAGCTATGATCTGTCCGTCCCCTGTTTAGATGACTTTAACGTCAATTTCCATCAAGGGACCCTACATATAATTAGGGTCCCTTGATGTAAATTGACGTATTTGTCATCTTAACAGGGTACGGACAGATCATAGCTGCATTCTTTTTTAATGATCTAGAGACTTTAGTTTTGTCTACTGGCATCCCTGACATTGCTGTCACGTCACATCCATGGGCGCAACAGAAAATCATTTAATAGGTATGTACAGGGTATTTACTTGTTGAGGAAGATCATATGGCGAACGAGTTTTGTAATTATGATCCGATTCTATCCAAAATTGGAAGGTATCTGGGGATTTCCGGGGTCAGAGATTATAATTATTTCGTCAAAATTGGGATATTCAAGATTCTGATGGATCCAATATGGTGGACGAGTTTTGTAACTAAGATCCGATTCTATTCAAAATTGTATCTGGGGGTTTTCGGGGTAGGAGATAATGATTGTTTCGTCAAAATTAGAAAATTTAACATGACGGATCCAATATGGCGAAAGACATTTCTAATTATGATCTGATTCTATTAAAGATTAGTATCTGGGGGTTTTTGGGGTCGAACTTTATGATTTTTTTGTCAAAATTATGGGAGATTCAAGATGTAATAAATAGTTGTTTGAAAAATCAAATGTAGATACTTAGTCGAATTTAGGAGAAGTAGAGAATGAATAGTAGTTTAAAAAAACTGAAGAGACAAATTGCCAAGCTGAGAAGGAGTAAAAAAAAAGAATAGTATTTTGAAAAACATGAAAAAACTAAAGAAACATGCTTTTATGGACAGTCGAACTTGAAAGAAGTAGAAAATGAGATAAATGACGGGTGCTGGTGAATATTCAACTAAAAGAATATATTCTAGAAATATTTCGCATAGCAAAACAACGTTTGCCAAGTCAGCTAGTAATCTAGTAATGATATTTATTATTCGTTCCCAATACAATTTGTATTTTGTTGAAAAAAGAAAATATTGACAGTGTCAATAAATGATTTCTAAATGTTAATGATTATGAAATTCAAGAAAATAAAAAGATTTTACGATTGAATAAGTTATATACATAGTGTGATATTATAATTATATAGTCACTCCATTAATTCTTCTCCGAGTTGGATTTCCGAAAATATATTTAGCACACATAATATTATTACAGTAGTTAGATACCCGAGGTTTTCACCATTTCTCAATCATAAGGCTCAGCTCATTCAGCTCTTAGATAAACTGCTGCTCAGCTTGAAATCAGAATCCAATCAGTCAATTCAGTCAACCCTGGTATACAGTCTAAGAACAGTATCTTTTGGTGAAGTATATAGAGCTTTTAGTACAATTCATTTGTTCCCTACCTCGCAAAGATAATGCTGGGGTAGTAAACTCTAAAACTAGATGATTGTTCATCTATATCTTGGTATAGTTGAATCAGGAATTCCATATGAAAATCCCGTATGATACGCCAATGACCTCAATATAACCTAAAAAACAACAAATGTCAAAAATCTAGTGTTTATCCCCAGAATTGAATAAGGATGGAACTATATAACTGTTTCACAAACACTTTAGAGTGAGAGGAGACGAGGATCTGTCCGTACCCTGTTAAGATGACTTTAACGTCAATTTCCATCAAGGGACCCTACATATAATTAGATAAAATTGAAATAATTTTGACAATATTTTTCATTTTTCGGAAACCTAGTAAAAAATCATGTAAAATCAATAATTTCAATTTTTGATTCAAAATTCACCTATTGCTTTCCCTTCGAATAGAATCCCAGTACAACATTTTCTTACCAAGTCCCCCACGTGCATGAATCAATTGAGGAAAATTTGTCTCGTATATGAATTTTAAAAGAATATTCATGTACATACTCAAATAATTTCCGGAATTAATTCTTTCCCTTGTGGGATTATAAGTGAGCATCCTAGATTGCAAAAACATGAAGCGAATAAGTGTGAAACTAGTTTATCGGGAATTTGTCAGCTTTCAATCTTTCTTTCTAGGAAGCAGATATGGCCATAGCTCCAATGACGATAACTTCAGAGAGAGAACGAGTCATCGACTTCAGCAAACCGTTCATGTCCCTAGGAATTTCCATAATGATCAAGAAACCCATGAAACAGAAACCTGGAGTCTTCAGCTTCCTGAACCCTCTCTCGAAAGAGATATGGGTTAGCGTTCTTTTCGCCTATGTGGGAGTCAGCATCGTCCTATTCGTGGTGTCCAGATTTTCTCCCTACGAGTGGAGGTTGCTGCACCTGACAGGAGATCCAAGGTGAGATAGAACTCTCAAATTCCACCACTAGCTATGATACCTACCATTATTAAGTGTGTTTTTACTATACCAAGGTAGTGTTCGTCATTTTATGAACCACTAGTCGATGAAGACATAGCTGCTGTAGTGCTGTATTCAACCCGAATGCACTGTTCTGATTAGAGATTCGCAGGAATGGCACATGAATTTAGTAGGTATTCAATAACGTCATATGCTGTCATGGTCATGACTAATAATTATTAAAAATAGTAATCTAAGGTAAAAGTCCATGGTATCTCAAAGTGGAGTGAATAGATTCATAAACAAGACACACGAAGTCACTATTAACTACCTCCAACTTCGATACTGAATGGAATATTATCAAGCAGATCGCTGTTAACAATGGGTACCCTCTGCACCTCATTAACAAAATTTTCAACAAATTTTTTACTAAAATGATTAATCAAGGTCTCATTCCACTCGATAATAATAGAAATCTTTTTTGCTCCACCTCTTTCCTAGGTAAAGTTTCTTATGACCTAAAAAACATTTTACAACGTTCCAACGAAAATATCAACGTTTCATTTTACACCACAGATACAATTTCCCGTTTGTTAGTCAATACCAAAGACAATATTCCCCCGTTACATAGATCCGGTGTCTATTAAATCTCTTGTTCACACCCTAATTGTCTGGCACAATACATTGGTCAGAGTGGAAGGAGAATTCAAACTCGTGTTAATGAACATGTTTAACTGATTGACAGCTACAAAAATTCTCCCAGAGATTTATACAATACAAAAAGTTCATTTGCTGATCATATCCTTGATTGAAATCATCACTTTGATATAAAAAAATGACCTTGAAGTTTTACATATTTGCCATAAGGGCACCCTTCTAAATTTATTAGAGATTTTTGAGATTAATGAATCAATTAAAGATGACAACATTATTTCCTTGAATGAACAAACAAATTTCGATTGCCAAAAATTCTTCAACGCCCTCAAATTCTAACGAGGATGTCTACTAGGTTAGTACTTTGCTAAACCTCGATTCTTTCTCAGTTTTGCTTGTTGTTTCTGAAACATTTTTGTCAAAAATTTTGTTATTCATCGGCATGTGACTCATTACGGCCCTGCACACAGAAAAAAAATTTCTTCGAATGAGAAAACCCATTCTCTTGAAAATTCAATTGTATATCTTCTTTGAATTGAGCATATTCTTTTGAGTCGAGAAATCTGGTATCTTCAAGAAAATAGTGTCATATTATTGAAATATATTCTCAAACCAAGAATGTGATTATTGAATTACTAAATTAATTACTTCAACTCAATCAAAACGATTCTTCAATTCGAAGAAGCGTACTATTTTGTTTCAATAAATTTATTGCTTGATCCAAGAATATAAATATACATTTCTTCAAATCAAAGAATGTCCATTTCATCGAATGACATATTCAGTTTTCTTGAATTGCAAAAACCTAATATGTTGAGGCAATACGCCATTTTGTTGAAACAAAAATATAAATAATTGTTTCTTCAAATGAAGCATTCTAATTTCATCATATTGGTATTATAATTTCATCAAATCGAAGACTCCTGATAGTTTTATTCTATGCCATATTTACTTGATTCAAAGATATGAATATCAATTTTCTTAAATGAAAGGAATATAATATCTTCAACTTGATGAACTTGATGATATTAATAATTTCTCTAATTGAAGAAGCCACATTTTGATTCAATACTTTATTTACTTGATTCAAGTCTATGAATAGGTATTTCTTTGGAAGAAAATAATATGCCCTCGGAAATCAAGGGTAAGCAATCCTGTTGCCAAAACTCAGGCCTCAGTCTTCAATCATTATTGACCATGCTCACATCATTATGACAGACCCACAACGGCGAAACGGCATTAAGCTGCGAAGTTTGAAAATTCTGAATGTTTTATTGAGTGTGTATAGGTGCAAATGTCTTAGAATATAAATATCTAACAAATGCAGAACTTGTAGAGAGCTGGTGAAGGTATAACATTGAATTCCCTTGGTAAGTAGGTACCTTTCCAAATATCGATATAGTCATTGTGAGTGAATCAACAATTTTTGAATCAAAATAACAGGGATTTAGTAGTATCCTGCTATGAAAATATGCTTACTGATTCATTCGAAATTTTTTTGTAGCAAAATGACGAGTGGTTGATGAATGAAGAAGTATTATCTACAAATAACTTGCAAATACTTGAGAAGACCTTGACAATAGGAGAGAGAAAGTTTCCTGCTGAGTATCTCGAATCTATATACCCGATATCTTCCAGAAGGCATGATATTACTGGAGTCACGATATTACATATTATAGCGGTGAGTTTTTAATCAATCATAATACTTATGTCATTGTTTGTAACCGTTATCATTTCCAGCGAAACTTCAAGAAGACGAAATCAAGGCATGTGATTATTCTATTACCATTTGGGATCTTGATGGACAATACTGATCCAAGATGTACATACCTATACATGGGATTATTGTCAACTAAAGGAACAAATATATATTCCTTCACGAATATTCTGTGGAATTTAGTTATCTCATTGGGAATCATTCACAGTTTCAAATCAAAAACATCATTATATTTTTATCCAAGCAATCAATATTTTGATACAAGAAAATAGTTCCATTGGAGAGAATGAGCTCAATATTCATTATAAAAAACTTATAAATTCGGATCGAAAATATCAATGTGTTCATTGAAGATTTACGGAATTTCGAAATGAAATAGAACAATTCTCAATAATAGTAATCCATAGTTGCAAATTGAGAAAATGATTGTTTTCATTTGGTGGATGGATTCCATATCTCAAAATTATGGTTTTCCTGAAATAAGTGAATGATTTTGTCAATATGAATTATTTCAATTCTCACTTCAACATAAAGAACGTCTCCAACCATGCATATCTTGATTTTGCTACAAGAGAGTTGTTGAATAAATCATTGTTTCGGAACAAGAATATCATCTCTTTCGTTATATACAAACAAATTATTTTCTTGGACCAATGCAGTCATGCTCAATACAAGAGATTCTTTTTTTGTGTGTGCTTCTTCTCGCATCTTGCCTTACATTCTTTGTTTATGCCACAGGACAGTTTAATGTCACTTGTCATTGGATACATACTTCACTTTTCCTATGTCAAGCTATTCCACCCCCCCCCCCCCTTCACCGCTCTACCACGTCACGGTAACCAATATTCTCATGATGTGCCCCATTTCATCTCCGATCACTTGGATGAACAAGTGTTGGGATCCCCCATAAAGCCCCCTTTGGGCCTTGGGCCATTTGCCCTTCATTATTGTAATCTGAATTGTATCATGCAATAATTTTATTGACTTCCCCTTTTTTTTCGTTTCCACGTGAGTATACATAACCTAAGCATAACATTTGTAACTACTGGGCGTCAATTGAAACGTTAATAGTGAAATTTGGCATCAAGTTTGACTTCTCGTGATTTCTAAAATGTTGAACGAATTTTGAATTGCCGCCCAGATTCTGAATGCCTTTTTCATCGTCTTTCGAACCGTTCCTTACAGCTTCTTCTGAATTGACCAGGACCCGTGATACAGGGTGAAACAAAGTTTCGTGCATTTTGAAAAGAATTTCTCTGCCCCCCCATTTTGTCGGAAGACCACGATGCTCATATTTTATTCAGGCATTTCATGAATAGCAACCATACCTCGGTACGTTTTCGAGTTTTTGCCAAAAACTACTACTAACGTTTCAAATGACGCCCAGTTTATATAAAAAACCTTTCTTTGTAGGAAATTGTCAATTAAAATATGCTGCTGATGATGGCATATTGATAGTCCGAAACATGTACAGATACTGATTATTCAGTCAATAAATTTGTGGAGATGACTCTGTGTGTCTTGTTTATGGATTGAAAATAGTGCTTCCATAGTGAATAGGTCCATATTTCGGTTTCACAGAACTGGAATTATTGAAAAATGCTATACTAGTGGTGAAAAATTTCGATATTATTATTCTTGGTAGTACAGAATATTATTATCACGGGGTGGCCTCATACCCCTCGGCTAGAGCCTCGGGATATAATCTTGGTGCCTGGGTGATAGTGATATTCTTGATTACCTTGGTGTATGATTAACTTTTATAATTTATGAAACACTAAAAAATATAGTGCAAGGAATTAAAATAGCTATAACTCACTAGATGAATGAAATATTGAAAGTTGGAACATATCTGAATTCAAAGTAGCTGTTATCAAACCTATTTACAGAAAACGAAGTAAGCTAGACTCCCAAAATTTTGAGCCTATATCATGGATTCCAGTATCTGCCAAAATATTTGAAAAAATAGCAAGAGTACGAAATTTTCTTCGACAAACATAAACTTCCATCTGATCAACAATTTGTATTCAGAAAAGGAAAGTCGACACAGGCCATCTAACACCTTCCCTCTGGAATATATGATGAGGTAGATATAATTGTGAACTATCCATGTGTGTCTTCATCGTCTCATCCAAGGCCTTTGATACTGTTAGTGATACACAATTACTGAAGGTTAAGGAAAAGTATGGGTATTCGCGGTAAGTTACCTGGAGAATAAAAAACAATGAGTTCGAGTTGAAAGATAAATGAGTACAGGGAAAGAAGTTGCATATGGAGTCCCACAAGGAACTGTGCTTGGACCAATACTCACAGTCAATTAATTAATGATTTACTCACAATGAATAGTTGCGGAGATATCATTGGCTATGCAGACGATACTGTTAAATTTTACCAAGGTGATAATTGTCAAAACTCGAGAAAACGAGTAGGAACAGACTTGTGTGTTAAATAATGAGGTGGATCAATCACAAATTATCGATAATACATATTGAGGAATTTTGTTTATTTCATTGTCGAAATGGAATGAAACTGTTGTGTATCGATAATGTTTTCTAGAATGAGTGACAATTATTTTTATTTCCAGGAAAGAAGATATGGATCTTGATAAAAGATTTCTGAACTTCACTTCCATCAATTGTTGGTTGACTCGGAGAGATCTTCCTGTAGAAGTTGAAACGATGAAACCCCGAATTAATGGGTTCCTCAATTGCATGACTTTATTTCACCGGTTTCATAAATTCCTCAAATTTCCAAACAGGGTGGATCGAAAAATCAGAAATATCAAAATTTGCTAAAAACAACACAAACCTATTTTACGATCATACCAAAGGCCAAAGTTACCTATATCCTTGCGTGTCTTTACATTTTCTGAATGAAATAACGTGTGCCCCAAGTAACCTAACTTTGTTGTCGACTTTGGCCCCCCTATTAAAAAAAATGGATTTAGAAATCCTTCAGGTTTTTGCCAATTCCAGAGTTATAAGTACTGATATAGACCCTCCAAATAAGACCAATAACAAAAATCTATAACATTTGGTTTCAAAGTTATGACAATTACCTGTATATTATGTTGTTTGTCTTCTACATCATCTGTTATTCAGAGACCAGCCGGTCCACAACACCAACCACAGCGGCACCATGGCCAACGACTTCACCATGCTGAACTCGCTGTGGTTCGCCCTGGGCGCCTTCATGCAGCAGGGCGGGGAGCTGTCGCCCCGCTCCGTCTCCGGGCGCATAGTGGGCGCATGCTGGTGGTTCTTCACGCTCATCCTCATCTCCAGCTACACGGCCAACCTGGCGGCGTTCCTGACCGTGGAGCGTATGGTGGCGCCCATCAATTCGCCAGAGGATCTGGCCTCGCAGACCGAGGTGGAGTACGGCACGCTGTACCACGGAGCCACGTGGGATTTTTTCAGGGTGGGTTGTGTCACTGTTTCCTCAGTCATCTTTTGTCGAGTGGTAAAATGAAAATGGCGAAAGTGATGAACAAAACAATAGTAGATTGTTTTATTAGGATCAAAAGTGACACTTTGTTTGACAAGCGAATTTTGCATTTGCGAGGCGGAGCGTTTAGCGAAGCCGAGCGAAAGCAAAATTTGCGAGTCGAACAAAGTCACTTTTGATCCGAATGAAACATGCTATTTTTTCTGCAACCGAAACAATTAACTCAAATAAACATGTGAAGTAACCACCAAATAATGCCGTGCCATATGTATGCAATGCAACAAATATTGACAAATAATCCGTGTGGTGAGAAAATTCTACCTGCATTAACAGCAGGTTAGGTTTTCAAGGATGTTCGAATTGTAGATTCAATATAAATACAACCACAGGGTGACATATTTGTGTATGGACCAGGTGCTCTAAAGGCAAATACCGCGCCAGTGCCAGCTATAGAACAAGACGTCGAAAATGTTAGGTTAGTGAGCATATCAACAATGATAATAGTGATTATTTATTCCTCTCCATACTACACTGTGTTTGACTTGATAATCGAATGAAGCTGAACAATATCGTTGTTTGACACAAAAAAACTATTGCTTGCCGTGATTATTCAAAAACAAGTTATCCATCCCGAGAATAATGAATGAAATACAGATCAAGCAAGTATTTGAATCTTAAAGGCTTTCCTGATCAAAACAAAAATACTTAACTGAGATGATTATAATTCCAATACAAAACTATAATAATAATAAACTATATAAATGCCAAAGCTGCTGAAATCGGAAACAAATCAGGTATGCGTCTCAACCCAAATAACCAACCGTCACAATGTTGTTTATTCTTGATGACGTCCAGTACATCCTTTTTAGTTCCTAGGAGCTGAAGTTCAACTTTAGCTCCTAGGAACTAAAATTCAACTTTAGCTCCTAGGAACTAAATATGTTGCCTAGCAACATACCTATTTTTGTGTCAGTCTTGATTCCAATTGTGGGGTGAAGGAATACTTGCGAGAGAGACTGCTTCTATGTATATTCTGGTTAAATTCAGGGGAATATACAACTATACAATTATATGATGATATAAAATTAGTTTTTTTCATGACATATCTATTTCATTCGACAGACAGTGATTAATTGATTTATTTCTATAGAAACATTGGAAAATTGACGAAACGCACTGCTCTGATGCAGAGGTAACTTCGAAGAAGTAACATAATGAATATGAAACAATGAAAAAAAATGTTGAACCTCAACACTTATAGAAGTTAAAAGACCTTTGCGACTCACACGCACACACGCATTGTACCCCTCGGTATATTGCATTTGTACACTGTTGAAAATCAGTTGATGATTCAACAAGTATTTGTAATCCCAGTAGGTCTTCGACAATTCCTTAGTTGGATTCATAAAAGCATGTGCAGTCAAATAAAAATCATCATTGATATTGTTGATATGATCAATGATGAAATTATAACTCCATGATATCCTTCTAGACTGACATTCTACAACAACTCATTGTATTTTTTTTTATAATCTCTGTTCATAGTCTAACAAGTTCATTGCGATTTCTTATTGTTGTTTGTACTACATCTCAGTGAATTTTTAGCAACCTTCTATTTTTATGATTATTGGCAATTCAGTTAAATCGAAAAAAAAAGACAATTTATTGCATGAAAATATTATTTAATCACATATAACTCACATTATATGAGTGTTACATAATATTCTGTCATTATCTTTATAGCCCAAGTTTCTTGTATCTCGGAAGGTCACTAAATATACACAAAACTGGTCCTGTAAATGAGAGAAAGAATACTATATCGAAGCATAAATACTAGTTCCTAGTATAACACTATTCTGCCAATATTATTTTTCATTACTTCGGAGAGACCTCTGCCTCAGAAGTTGACATACAACTCATTGAACTTTGATATTTGATGTCGATCTCCATCACATCTAGCAAACGAAGGATTCGCCCTAAAAACGAAATAAAAATATATGTTAATCCATAGAGTGAACACTAATTCCAGTTATAAATGAGGAATCTCTTTTTCAGAGATCCCAGATCACCCTGTACTCCAAAATGTGGGAATTCATGAACTCAAGGAAGCACGTCTTTGTCAAAACGTACGACGAAGGCATAAAGAGAGTTAGAACGTCGAAAGGCAAGTTTGCTCTGTTGATAGAGTCACCCAAAAACGACTACATCAACGAAAGAGAGCCCTGTGATACCATGAAAGTTGGCCAAAACCTGGATACCAAAGGCTTTGGGATAGCCACCCCCTTAGGATCTCCCTTAAGGTGAATATAATATCTATAATATCAGTTTCATGTAACATTCCTACTAACAGAATGTGAGGTGATTTGACCCGAACTCAACCACAGGCTGCTCATATTAAAATTGGCGCCCAAGTGATGTATTCTAATTTGAACTGAATAATTAAGATATCACTCTGTCCATTCTGAGGAGTTAATTTCCAGCCTCAGAGTTGCGTTATGAATGAGGAAACCTGAAGATCATGTAGACTGGCTACATCATACATATAAATGTGTGATATTTTGTGTTTTCAGAGATACTATAAATCTTGCTGTCCTCAGCCTCAAAGAAAATGGCGACCTAACCAAACTGAAGAACAAATGGTGGTATGACCGAACAGAATGTCTGCGTGATAAACAAGTGAGTATTAGAATAATATTGTACCAATGGTGTAAGCTTTCGTATAGTCAATACAGTGTTAGAATTTGAGGTTGGCTTGGTGTTTGATCTACCAGTTATATCTCTGGATTCCAGTGGAATGGTCACTCATGCGAAATGAAAAATCAATCAAATATTTATAATGTCTTTTTTCTCCTATAGCGTACGGCAGAGTCCAGTTTTCCGTACTCCTTTTAGTGTAGAATGTAAATATATTGAGTTTCTGGGGAGTATGTTGGCATTTGAATATTCAATAATAATGAATGTTTCTTAATGTTAACTCATGGTTTTTTCCGCACGCTCGTAGTAAAAACACGAAGACTTTTTCGCACTTGTTGAGTGAGCTGCAGTTATAGTATAACTGGAATGTCTGTCATATCACAAGATTTTTCGTATCTGCACTCTATAGGTCTCTTTTGCGGTATATCTCCAACAAGGAACTGATCACTTCTTGGAATGATAAACTTGTTACTCGTTGATTACAGAACAGTTAGATGAGCATTTTTACTCAAAGTTCGGTTATGGTAGTTCTTTGAAGAATTGATTTCAGTCAATCACCATGAACTCTGTTGTTCTTTGAGACACACGACTGACTGATTGTCAAAATCAATGTTAGACATTTGAAATTATGTAGATTACCAGAAAATTCAAGGAATTTCATCATGAGTAGGCGATACAGAATAGAAGAAGAGGAAAAAGCCAAACAGCTAACACAGGATCTACAAGAAGAGGAAGACAAATTGAAACTCCAAAAAGAACGCATATTTGGGCCTCTTATATGGAGAAGACTCACTTGCGGTATCAGAATACAGGACCTGAAATCAAACTACTACAATGAAGTTATAGACATGATAATGGAACACTACATCCATGAAGACGTGGTGTTCAAAAATACCAAATTCATGGATGACCCAGATTCTGTGGAATGTTTTCGTGGAAAATTATTATCTAGCATAAAAGACAACTCTTCCATTATTGCTATAGATGAGACCAATGAGGAGATAGCAGGAATAATGATCTTCAAGGCGATGAAAAAGTGTGACTATGGAAGGGTTTTCAGCAGAGTTCAACTAAGTGAAGGAAGGGTTTATCAGAGTATCATCGAGTTTCTCAATTATCTGAATCGAAAAGTGGATGTGTTTGATCATTTCCATTGTGAGATTTTTCTCAGGTACTATTTGATTTGTGTCAAACCAGACTATAGGGGTAAAGCACTAGGGTTCCAACTAATGCATACAGGTAAGCTTATATCTTCTTCTCTTTTGTAGCTGAAGGTTATCGGAACCTATTTGAACAGATAGTATACTTTTTAGTGAATACCTTGATACATGCATGACCTAGTATTCAGTGAACCACATATAACGCTTCAAAACAATGTTTCAAACAATTACTATAGTCCAGTACGTGAGTATATCGAATAGGGGTGTTTGAATGCAAAAGGTGGGGCAGTAGCGATTCTTCAGTATGTTGTTAGGTTTGGGGTTCTTATGATAAATCCAAGCTTTCGACCTCGAGGTGCATGCGTTCGAACGTCCATCTTGGATTTTATGTATAGGCATTTGTTCTTTTGATAATAAATCAGAAGCTGTGGTTTTCAAGACACAAGATGTTCAATACAAAGTCTGGAGGACAAAATTTTTGTGAGACACATATATTAGAAGGTACAGCTCTGCGGAGTAGCACTATTTGAATAAAAAGTATCAAATTTCGTTATTTGGCCTTTGATAGCAAAAATAAATGATTTAAGCAAATACAAATCCTATCGAGATAGTTTTCTAAGAGACTTCAATTTCATATCAATAGATTAATGCCATCCACCTTAACAGATAGACAGTTATCGAGAGCACAGCTGCTCAGCTGTCTAGTAGGTATATTGATGGGGGGTCATGAATGAAACGCTGAGGAGAAGAAGGAAATAATTACCATTTTGGACCCAAACTAAACTAGCATAACCATTTTTTTGCTTTGGGAATATCCACATGGATCTAGCCAAAGGAGGAAACAATCGTGATATTTTTGAATGCACTGCGTCGCGAACAAAAATCGAATATAGTGGGAGAAGGCAATTATATGTATCATTAACCAAAATGAAGTTTCTGCATTTTCTCCAAATAGTGGAAAAATGTTAGGAATTTTGTCTTCTTCAACTTTGTATGGAACATGTTTTATCGTGAAAGCTACTGTTCTTGATTTATTATCAAAAAAGCAAATTTTTTACCTAAAATCCAAGATGGCAGCTCTACTACCTAACAACATACTGAAGAATCTCTACTACCTCATTTTCCGCATTCGAAAAACCTCCACGTACTGGACTATATACTCCACTACAGTGAATATCAGGGTTCACAATCCGCTATGGAAGTCATCTTGCAAAAAAATCAATTTGATTCATATCTGAATGTTGCAGGTTGATACACATATAGGGTGATTCAAAGTACGACGTAAATATTTCAAGAACCTATTGTTGAGGTCAAAATAAGACTTTTTCTTCATATGGACATGCATGTGTCCTAAAATGCACCCCAATTTGGCCAATAAAAGTGAGGTCCCCTGCTCCAACCCTCTCAAAACTGGGTTTACGTAATTTTTGGAAAAGGAATGAAATAAAGTGTCTAAGAGGGGCCTGCAAATTTTTCGGAGATTTTTTGCATTATTCCAGTCACAATTTCAGAATAACTTTTTCCTTTACCTAACTTACAGTGGCTGTAGATTGGAGGGGGTGAATTTTAGGACACGTTTTTTCATGAAAAATGTCTCAATTTGATCACAAAAATATGTCCTTGAAATATTTACATCGAATTATGAATCATCCTGTATATTATCACTTCCATGTCTTCTAAGTCTGATACACAGTGTCCCAGAACAACGTACCATAAATTCTACAGGGTGAACTGAAGGCTTAAATAGGCCGATTGAGATGAAGAATAATTTTATTCTCAGATTTACTTCAATATTTCGAAATCCGTGGGAGGTACTCCTCTGAAATCCGTAGGGCAATTTACTATAGTGAATGTGCATGAAAAACATGCCATACCAATTCAATCAATTTCCAGGGAGTTAGGTATTCTGCATTCCCTTTGATGAAAATAAATGTAACTTAGTTGGAGTATGACCACTTCGTGATTTTTTTATATCGCAGTTTTTTCGAAATTTTCCTTGGTTTTCGAGATACATAACAAAATTCATTTTGGTGCTCTACCGTACGACGAATTTTTGGGATACTAATAACTTTGACATGATGACAAAAATGACAATACGTAATTGACCACAATAATCATGTTCACCAAAATTTGGGAACTGGTTTTCTCCAAATTTCAGTCCAGGATTCCTAGTGAAGAAACTTCATTCTAGAGAAGATGAATACATTCCTAAAGATAAATAACGACATTTTCATATGCTGAAATGGATCATAAACACACATATTGTGATCAATGACTCCACACAAATGTTACATGCAAATCATGATAATCGTCATGAACATAAACTATTATGGAGGAGCACCAAAATCGATTCTGTTAAATATCTCAAAAACCAAGGAGAATAAATGAAATTGATTCCACTATTCAAAAATAATGCGAAGTATCTATATCGATTGAATTGTTACGACATATGTTTTCCATGAACATTCACTGTAGTAAATTGTCCTATGAATTCCAGAGAGCAGTACCTTACAGGGATTCCGAAATATTGAAGAAAATCTGGAAATAAAATGGCTTCTTCATTGCCATCTCACCGCTTAACGGTGCATTTTCGTATAGAGGTAAGTTGATTTCAATTGGCCTATTTTAGATTATAGTTCGCCATGTAGAATTTTTAGTACGTTGTTATAAACACCTTGTATGATTCAAAATTTCCTTTAGGATTAGACATTGCAAGACATTTGAGAATACCAGTTGTTATGGGACTATTCGACTGTTACAAGCTTCAAAAAATAGCCAAACGGCTTGGAATGCACACCATTTTCGATGTAAACTACGTATCCTGGCATGACAAAGCTGGAGAACTACTTTTTTGTGATCCCGGAGCAGGGAATTACACATGCGCACTCATGGCAGGCGTGGTTCCTCCAGCCATAGATCCCGAACCTGTCCGAAAACCTGCAGATGGTTCCACGTCCAAGTCGAAACTTACTAGAGCTGAAAAGAGGAAAGCAGTTCTGAAGGAAAAAAAGAACAGTTGATTGTATTAGATATACTTTGATGAAAATATAAATCTCGAGGACTCTGAGTTTCACATTATTTTCGATTCTATTTTATACAGGATGAGTCATGACTATAACCAGCCATAGCCTAATGGCGGAAGAAGGAAGTCAAGGTGAGTTGATATACAGGGTGTTCCATGAAGTCATGCTAATATTCGAGGAGGTGATTCTTTGACTCATTTCAAGAATAAAACTTCAAATAGACGTATATCCTAAAAGCCTCCACTTTTGAGATACAGGGTGATGAAGATGCAGATGGCTCCAAGTCCAAGTCGAAGCTTACTGAAGCTGAAAAGACGAAATCAGTTCTGAAGGAGAAAGAAAAACAGTTGATTGTATTATATGCTGAACTTTAATGAAAATATAAATATCGAGAACTTTAAGTTTCACATTATTTTTCATTCTATTTTATACAGGATGAGTCATGACTATAACCAGCCATAGCCTAATGGCGGAAGGAGAAAGTCAAGGTGAGTTGATATACAGGGTGTTTCATGGAGTCATGCCAATATTCAAGGAGGTGATTCTTTGACTAATTCAAAGAATAAAACTTCATATAAACGTATATCCTAAAAGTCTCAACTATTGAGATACAGGGTGAACGGAGTATTAAGACAACTTATTGACGCCTTCATATGGCGAAATATATATTTTTTAAACCTTATACACATTACAGAAATGCAGAAATGCATTTCAACACACTTCTCAGTGACAGATGTTGATATAAAAACGAATGAGTTACAGGAGGTTTACATTAATTCAAATTGAAATAACCAACTTC